ATATTTTTTTTAATATTTATTTTTTAGTTATAAGTGGACACAATATCTATTTTATTTTTATATGGTGCTGAAGATTGAACCTAGTGCCTCACTCATTCTAGGCAAGCACTGTACCTCTGAGCCACAACCCCAGCCCCGAGTTCCCTGAAATATTGTTTTACATTATCAGGACTCTTCTTAAGAATGTTGCCTTTAAGCTGAGTGCGGTGGCTCATGCCTGTAATCCCAGTGGCTTGGGAGGCTGAGGCAGGAGGATTGAGAATTTAAAGCCAGCCTCAGGAAAAGCAAGATGCTAAGTGACTCAGTGAGACCCTGTCTCTAAATAAAATACAAAATACAGAATAGGGGTAGGATGTGGCTCAGTGGTTGAGTGCCCAAGTTCAATCTCCAGTACAAAAAAATAAATAAAAAAAGAAGATGTTGCCTTTAAAAACTCAGCTGAGGTTGCGGCTCTAGCTCAGTGGTAGAGTGCTTGCCGGACACACGCCCATAGTTCCAGCTACTGGAGAGGTTGAGCCCAGTATTTAAGGCCAGTCTGGGCAACGTTGCAAGATCCCATCTCTTAAAAAATAAATAAATAAAAACACATCTATGAGAAGCCCTGCCTGCATTTGAGTAGAAGGCAGGAAAGCAGTAACATATGTTGAATATGAGCACTAATATCATCCAAACACTTGAAAAGACTAAATATTTTTATTGTCTTAATTCAAATAAGCACCTTGAACCTACTTTATCAAAGCATCAACTCTGGAGCCAACCTGCCTGGGTTTTATTCTTGTTCTACTGCATTCTTACTGGGTGACATTGGCAGTTTATTTAACCTCTTTTTGCCTTGATTTCCTCATCTGGTTAATAAGAGAGCCTACTTAAAAAGGATATAATGAAGGGCTGGGGTTGTGGATCAGGCGTAGCGCTCTCCCCTAGCATGTGCGAGGCCCTGGGTTCGATTCTCACCACCATGTAAAAATAAATAAACAAAATAAAGGTATTGTGTCCAACTACAACTAAAAAATAAATATTTTTTAAAAGGATATAATGAAAATTAGGGGAAACAGTTCATTCATTCATTTATTTAAATATTTATCTGTTTATTTTTTATTTATTTGCAGCACTAGGGATTGAAGCCAGAGGTATTCTACCATTTAACTACATCTCCAGGGTCTTGCTAAGTTACCCAGATGGCCTTGAACTTGCAATTGTCCTGCCTCAGCCTACTGAGTATGGGGGAACTAGCATATTTAAAGTGCTTAGAACTATGCCCAGCAACTCTTTTTTTGGGGGGCGGGGAGTGTACTGGGGATTGAACTCAGGGACACTCAACCACTGAGCCACATCCTCATCCTTTTTTGTATTTTTATTTAAAGACAGAATCTCGCTGAGTTGCTTGGTGCCTCCCTGTTGCTGAGGCTGGCATTGAACTCACTATCCTCCTGCTTTAGCCTCCCGAGCCACTGGGATTACAGGCATGTGTTACCGCTCCTGGCTATGCCCAGCAACTCTTGACTACTAATATTATTATTATTAAAGCTTGTCCATTGTTCCCCTATATCTAATGAGTAGTAAGGTCTGGATTTGAACCCACTTCCCCATTCTCCCCATTGTACTCAATTCTTCTAACAAATTTTCCACAAAGCATTTGGGGTAATCTTTCTAGAATGGAAATGTGATAATGTCTCTCCTACTTAAAATGCTTCCTACTCCCTTCCCACTTCATGGCTTCCCACTCCTTTAGTATCAAAATAAATGTTCCTCCCCTGGCTTGCTAGTGCTCCATGGCCTGGGTTTGCCCCCTTACCTTACCTTACACTTCTCTTCCCTTTTCTCTCTGCCTCCAGTTACTGTCTTGATTTTTGTTGATTTCTACTTCAGGGCCTTTGAATATGCTTTATAACCCCTCACCTCTACATTTTTCCTAAACATCATCTTGAATATTACTTCTTCAGGGAAGCTCATTAAGTTAGGTCTTCATTGTTATATATTTAGGAGAAATAAAGGGTATATAACTCCCCTTTTATAACATGCATTCTCTAACCTTGTAATTGTTTGACTATGATTGGTCTTTCCTATTAGACTCTGAGCTCTGTAAGGCAAAGACTGCTTCTATCTTTATTACTGGCCTAACCCTAAGAACTAGTCTAGTATCTGACACACTTAGGCACTGAATAAATACTTACTGATTTGGATTGAATTCTAACTGGCATAGACATTTCCTAGAACAGTAGAATGACTGATACGCTGTTTTTTGCCTCTTTCCTGTCTCTGCCCCAAATGGCTTGGAACATAAAGAACTGTTTGTTTTTAACAACTCCTCTTATTGATTGAGGTTTTCAGCCTATTGTATTGTTAGTTATTCTCACTACCCAGGTTTTCAGAGATGAGTCCGTTTTCTTCTGATTTTCATTTCATTTGGGTCCATTTTTCCTCTGGAGCTGAGAGTGGTGGTGGTGGGGATGATAGCTATGACCTTGAGTTGAAATGGGGATAAAGAGTGAGTGAGCAGTGTGCTGGATTTTGTTCTATCCATGGTCTTCCTGCTACAGCTGCAACTCATGGAAGCGAGAGGAAGAGCCTCTCCTGTGGGCCTCTTAATTGGCCTGCATCCCTTCCTGGGGGCAGCCTGGAGAAATGGAAATCTCTCTCACTTGGGAGCAGCTTCCATGCCTGAAGCTGACCAGCCCAGTGCCCCGTGGCGAATGAAGCATCCCTCAGCATCACACATTGTGACACTACTCTTTCCTCTTTTATTTTTTTAAATTCACTTATGTTTTTCAAAATTGTTATGTAAGTATGATTTATATAAAAAATGCACAGATTTTGAGTCCCCAACAGCCCAGTAGGTTCCTTGAGTCCCTCTCAGGTGATATTTCCCAAAGGTAGCATGGTTTTGTCATGTTGGGTTGACTCTTGAAATTCAGTTATTTCATTTCTTCCCTTCTGTTTTTACTCTCTGATCATCCAAGTAAGTTTACTGCAGAAAAAGTGGACAGTATGGAAAAATATAGATCCTGAAGAAAAATTACCTGTACTCTGTTTACTTAACAGTCTGTTCTACTTTGAAATGTCCAGAGTTCCCAGTATTTCTTTATCAAAGTATGTCTGGTTTTCTGTTGACTCTCTTTGAGGGCCTCTCCTATCCTTTGCCTTTGTAGCTACTGCCAATACTTTCTTGGAATGCCCTCCAGAAGCACCTGTGTTCCTTCCTTACACCTTGATAAAGCCTTCCACAAGCCCCACTTCTCTGCCTCTTGTCCCTATACTGTTCACATACTGTGACAGCCTCTGTCTTTCTACAGTGCCAATTTATGTGCTTACCTGTCTCTCTGAAATGCTCAGTGAGCTCCTTGAAAACATAGATTGCATTTGCCCCAGAGTGCCTAGGACAGAACAGACTTAGCAAATGTTTATTGAATCAAATAAATAAAAAAAAAAATCAAGGAAATCTTACATTAAGTATTAAAGAATGAAACCCACGATTAATGACAAGAATAGATAACACCTGCTTTAGTCAATCTGATTTTTTAATTTTTTTTTGTGTGTGTGTGTGTGTGTGTGCTGGGGACCAAACCTGGGCCTCTCCTATTCTAGGCATGCCCTCTGTCACTGAGCTACACCTGTAGCCCTGAGTCAGCCCTGTCTGCAGAATGCCATAAAGGAAAAATAGCATTTTAGAGTACTTAAAAAAAAAAAAAAAAACTTTCTGAAAGCTTCCACATAATTATTTTATTTGGTCTTCTATAAGCATAAGTAGTCTATGATTGTATCCCCATTTTTTCATATCAGGAGTAATTACTATATTTGGTCTTCCATAAGCATAAGTAGTCTATGATTGTATCCCCATTTTTTCATATCAGGAGTTACTACTATATTTGAATCACGAGAAGAGGAGATCAGAATTGTATTGAAAAGTGGGAGGGGATGTTATTAACAGAAGCTACTTGATAGGGGTTGCAATACCCAGCATTTGCTGACTGTTTATGTGGGCAAAGAATATGGATGTGGTATGCCAAGCAAATTACTTATGTAATCTTATTAAATCATTGCAGGTCTATTTACAGAGGGCCATGCCCCTTGCTGTTAAGTGATGAAACTTTGTGAGGCATGAAAAACCAGGATTCCTACTATCATTATTATTATTTTATTTGTCATTGATTTGATCAACTTTTTTTGATCAGATGAAAATACCACTAATACAATATTATTGTATAACCTGTTCTGTCAGTCCTATTTGCATCACCACACCCATTCCTCACAATTGTGTATTGATATAGACCCAGGTTGTAATTGCATTTATACCTGAAGAATCTGAGGTCCAAAGGGGAGAATGACTTACCTAAGTAAGTATTTCTTATAAATGGCAAGGCCAACACTTGACTGCAAGTCCAGTGTTCTTTTCTCTGCAGCATGTAGGTCTGCTGAAGCTGATTATATCAAATGTAAAACAGTGGTTCTGTACCTGGGTCATTTAGATAATGTCTGGAGATAATTTTGTCATTATTTGGGGTTCACTAATGACATCCAGTCAGAAGAGTGGGGGTGCATAACACAGAATTATCCTGTCCAGAATATCAGTATTGCTCAGGTTGAAAAATCCTGTTCTAGAACAATTGGGTTTCATGCCTTATTTCTTTCTCCAGGATAAGTGAAATACCCAAGGTTAGTCTCCAAAGCATATCTAGTGATAGATTTCATTCTTTTAGAATTAGCTATACGTGTGTGGCAGTGAATGCTTATTTATCACCAGGATTCATCCATAGCATTATAATGTTATATTAAAATATACTTGGGGATGCAGAAAGGTATTAGTGTAGTTCCTCAGAAACTTTAGGGACTTCTGGAAGAGGTAAAGGATATCTGGTTACTTTGCTTCTGGGTGCAGATAAGCATCCCCTAGATTCTATGAACTACTCCATGCAGAGGTGGCTGTATGCATAGACAACCCTGATTGAATTAGTGCTGCTGGTATAAATGAATGCTCCCAACAGTGACTCTTCTTCCCACAGTTATGCGATGCCCACTAAAACCATGGAGATATTGCAGGTACAAGACCAAAGCAGCAAAATGTTCCTGGACTCAGTCCTTACTGTACATGAGCGAGTGGTTCAGGTAGGCAATGTATTTACCTCTCTGGTTCTATTCTCTTTTCATTTTTTCTCTTTCTGTTGTGTCCTTTTCTTACTCTTACCTGCCCTTGAATAATGATGTACGCCAGAGTTCAGTTCTTGATCCCTCCATCTTTCCTTTTATGTAGTCTCATTGCCCTGGCCTCAGCAATCATCTTAATGCACTGATAACCTTCAGATATATATGTATATATCTGCATCCGGTCTGTTGGCTGAGCTTCATACCTGATACCCAATTGTCTACCAGACTTCTCCACTTAGATGTTCCACAGTGCTCTCTCTGTCCCAGTGTATGCAAAAGTAATTGTAGAAAGACAGATTTTCTTTTTCTACAATATTCCCCACCTTTGAGCCTGATGCTTGACCCTTCATTGTCCTCTGATATCCATTCATTCAACAAATTTCTTAGCTTTTACCTCCTAAAACTTTCAGATCCAACCATTTACTTTACCTTCATACTAATGTGATCATGTCATTTTCCTGTTTAAAACCTCTTGGTGGCTTCCTTTTAACTCTAGCAGTTATCCTGTTTGTTTGTTTGTTTGTTTGTTTTTTCCTGCAGAGACAGATGGGTGACAGCCATACCACCATGAGGGTACCCAGAATTATTAAAAATTCACAGTTTACCAGCTCTAACATCACTCTCCCTTTTTATAGCAACTTTATTGAGATAAAATTGACATATCATATAATTTACCCATTTAAAGTATACAATTAAATTGCTCTTAATGTATTCAAAGAATTACACATCCATCACTAAATCAATTTTAGAACATTTTAATCACCCCAAAAAGAAATTCTGTATCCATTAGCAGTCACTCCTCTTTCCTGGTCCCTCCAGCCCCTTGCAACCACGAATCTACTTTCTGTCTTTATAGATTTACCTCTTCTGGGCATTTCATTTAAATGGAATTGTACAATATGCAGCCTTTTGTGTCTGACTTCTTTCATTGGGCATAGTGTTTCAAAGGTTTATACATATTGTAATTTGTCAATACTTTATTCATTTTTATTGCTAAATAATATTCCATTCTATGGCATCTCCTTTTTTTTTTTTTTTTTAAGCTACTGAAGAAACATACCAGTATCAGCAAAGTAATAAAAGGAATGCTAAGGGGGCAACACCTTAATTCTAAATATGCTAATGTAAAAAACAACTAAAGCATTTAGAATTCTTTTGCAGATTAGCAGGAATAAATTATTTGCAGCATACTTATGATAGCTCTTACTTGCCACTGAGACTCATAGAATAAAGTATGAACTCTGTAGCATTCAGGTGCCTTTATGATTCTTCTGCTTTTCCTCTTCATATCTCATTGCTTTAGCCTTTAAGGAACTGGTTTTCTTTCTTTTTCTTTTTTGTTTTTTATATTTTTTAGTTGTAGTTGGACACAATATCTTTATTTTATTTATTTATTTTATGTGGTGCTGAGAATTAAATCCAGGGCCTCGCACATGCTAGGTGAACGCTCTACCACTGAGCCACAATCTCAGCTCCAAGGAACTGGTTTTCATTCTTGGACTCTGTATGTCTCCACATTTGCAGAATGTTGTTTTCCTTGTCTCAACAACTCTCCATACTACTATTGAATTCTCCCAGTTTTAATCCTGTTTTTTTCCAAGACTTCACCCAGATGTCACCTTCCCTGAAGCTTCCTTTAACCTTCCCTGTGTTGGTAGGTATTTCTCTTGTGGGTTCTCACAGCACCCTTCAGTCCTTCCTACTGCACATCTGATTTGCCTCTAGATTCTTGGCACAAGTACTGATACCAGTCAGTAGTCTGTGTGGGTAAACCTGGGTTTGCATCAGAAAGTTAGCGTTGACTTGATAACTTCTTGGTCCAGCTGTGACGTCCATTGTCTATTGGAACAGATATTGTCATTGGCCATCTCAGCAGTCAAACAAGCAAACACCTTGGCAAATGGGAAGAAAAATCTTACAGGGGCCATGCTCAGAACTAGCTCTGGGTGTTCATCTTTACCCTACTGGAGCTGGCATTTGAGCCTGGGCCATATCTGTCCAATCACCTGGCTTTTAGCACCCTTCCTTAAAGTATCTTCTTTCATTTTGCAGATCAGCGGTTTGAGTGCTACATTTGCAGAGATTTTCTTGGAAATACTCCAAAGCAATCTTCCTGAAGGAGTCAGATTGTCAGTAAGGGAGGTAGGTGCTAATTTGGGAAGAGGCCCCCTGGTGGTCTACTTTTGCCCAAAATAAAGATAAGAACATCTGGGCCTGGGAATATAGTTCAATTGCAGAGTGTTTGCCTGGTATGTAAAAGTCCTGGTTTGATCCCCAGCAGTGGGAAAAATGGAGGTGGTTGGGGGTGTGGGGGAACTTCGTGGCTTTAGAAGCAACAGATGTGGATAATGTGGGTAATGTAGCCTAGATAATAACCAGGAAAAGAGTGCAGTCTGGTGGAACTGTGGTCATCACTCTGGCTCTTCTGAGGCATCAGGGATGATCTTTATGGACCATAGGAACTGATCTCCATCACATCATCCTGATGTTACTGGGGAATCCATTACACTTCAAAATTAACTCCTTTCAGGCAGTTGTATAGTGGAAAGAACATAGTTTAAGATTATGTACAGCAGGGCACAGTGGCATATGACTATAGTCCCAACTACTTGGGAGGCTAAGGCAAGAGGATCACAAGTTTGAGGCCAGCCTCAGCAACTTAGCAAGACCCTGCCTCAAAAATAAAAATAATAATAAGGTCTGGGGATTGTAGCTCAGTGGTAAGCATTTACCTTCTAAGCCTGAGGCCCTCGGTTGAATTCTCAGTACCACCACCACCAAAAAATGAGATTATGTATAGTATAATAAATCAGAACACAAATAGGAAAATGTACTTTAGAGAGAAGTATCCTTGACCTTCAAGGCTTGACTGTAGCTTGATTGAATATATTTTGTAAAGAATGCCAGTCAGAAGGAGGTTTGACTGGGCATGGAAAACTTGCAGTAAAACATCAGGAACCTTAACCTGAAAACTAGATATTCAAGTCCAGTGACCATTATGTTTCTTCTAATGATACAGACACATCAGGTCATGTTAAACTGGTGGCATTGCTTCATCCAGCTCTCCTTGTCTTATACTTGTTAAGCTTCTGGTTGTTATTTAGGTTGCACATAGTACACAGAGAGAATGTGCTGGTCATGCTAACTTAAAACATTCCAATCCTGTGAGTGTTATTGTAATTTTTATTTATCTGTCTATTTATTTATTTATTTTTGCAGTTCTAGGGATTGAATTCATTGGAGCTTTACCACTGAGCTGCATCTCCAGTGCTTTCTATTTATTTATTTTTAAAGTTTGAGATAGGGTCTTGCTAAAGTTGCTGAGACTGCCCTTGAACTTGTGATCTTCCTGCCTTGGCCTCCCAAGTAGCTGGGATTATAGGTGTATCCCACCCCCTGTGCCCAGCTGATATTTCCTATTATTAAAGGATAATTTTTACATTAAAAAAAAAGTGCTTCTAGGCTGGGGATGTAGCTTAGTAGTTGAGTGCTTGCCTAGAATGTATGAGGCCCTGGGTTCAATTCCCAGCAACACAAACACACATACACACACACAGATATACATACACACACATATACACACACACTTCTGTTGTTATGTTTGTAGTATCTATAACATTATTTCCTTTTATTATGTCTTCTTGCAACAGACTCTAAGTACATTGAAGGCAAAGAGTAAGTTTGATTTAAATTTGAATCCCTGGTACCTAATACAAGTCTGGGACATAGTAGATAGTCAATAATAGTTGGCTAAATCTGAATCATTCTGTGCAGAGTTAGCTGATGACTCTTTTTTTTTTTGGTGGTGCATTTCTTTTTTTTTTTTTTTTTTTATTGGTTGTTCAAAACATTACAAAAAGCTGATGACTCTTTTTGGATGTTGCGCATGTAAAAATAACTAAAAACTCCATAGTACTTACTACCTATTTTCTTTTCTACTCCATAGCACACTGAAGAAGACTTCAAGGGAAGGTTCAAAGCTCGGCCAGAACTGGAAGAACTGTTGGCCAAGTTGAACTAGTTATTGCAACTGTTTCATGCCCCAGCACTGGTGATATTGAGTGCCAAAGAGAAGAGTTTCCAGATGGTCAGGGTTAAGCAGGAGACCCAGACCCTTAGATTTCATAAGTACCCGTTCTCACATGGAAGAATTCTTCCTCTCCTCTGTAGCATGGCTGCACTTGCCAGCTGTTACCACATATCTTTGTGATAACACAGGGAATCGTCTAATAAAAACATGATACTGCTGTTGCTGGTGTGTGTATGTGAGGGGTGGGGGTGAGAGGAGAAATGTCAACCTACTATCCTGTGGCATATTTTTAACTAAGAGATTCTATTTTCTCTTTGCCTGATGATGCTTTAGCATAGATGCATGTATCCCTTCTATATGTTCTTAGTTAGAGTGAACGAATCCTTTAAAGCAATCTATCATGCAGTCCGTAGTGAAGTAGGGATGATAGCATGAGGATATTCTCTGTATTAGTCTGTTTTCTATTGCTATAATGAAATACCTGAGGCAGGGATTTTTTAAAAAATAGGTTTATTTAGCTCAAGTTCTGAAGGTTCAAGAGCATGGCACCAGCATAAGCTCAGCTCTGGTGAGAGCCCCCTTTGCTTTGTCACAACATGGCAAAAGGCATCATTCAAGAGCACATAAGAAAGGGAGAAACCACATGGCAAGACAGGCAACCAGAGAGGGGCTAGTCTTGTGCTTTTTATAACAACCCACTTTCAAAGGGTCCTAAGAGAACTACATTAATCCCTTCCCAGGGCAAAGCCCTCAGTGACCTAAGCACCTTCTACTAGGCATCACCTCTTCAAGGGCCCATAACCTCTCAAAATCACACACTGAAGACCACGATTCCAGCGCATGAACCCTTGGGAGACACATTTAAACCATATCTAAATCATTACATTTTTTAGGGCATGCTCTATGGGTATAAGTCATGGGAAGGGAGATTTTGGCTTTGTATATAGAAAAATTCTCCATATGGAACTGAGGTCTGTTCATACACAAAATAAATTGCTTTGTGGGTTAGTGAGTGACTTGACATAAGTATTCAGGTAAAGGTTACATAACTGATAAGTGTGCCTGGAATGAGATTATGCAAAGCATTGAAAGTTGATCTCGATCAAGGGTCAGCAATCTACTGTCCATGAACCAAATCCTACTCACTCCTTTTTTTTTTTTTTTTTTGGTACCAGGGATTGAACTTGGGGACACTCACTCACTGAGCCATATCCCCAGCCTTATTTTGTATTTCATTTAGAGACAGGGTCTCACTGAGTTGCTAAGTACCTCGCCATTGCTGAGGCTGGCTTCCAATTCACGATACTCCTGACTCAGCCTTTGGAGACACTGGGATTATAGGCATGCACCACCGTGCCTGGCACTCCTTGTGTTTTATAAAATAATTTATTGAGGTAAACTTCACATACCACAGAATTAGCCATTTTACAGAGGCATTTAGTACATTCACCATGTTGTACAAACACAACCTCTTACCTAGTTTCAAATTCCCATTCTATTTTTTTGTAAATAAAGGTCTATTGGAGGAGGGCCATGCTCATTCACTTAATATTATCTATGGCTGCTACAATGACAGAGTAATTGGAATGGAGTCCATAAAGCTAAAACACTTTCTGGTCCTTTGTAGAAACAGTTTGTCAAACCCTTGTCTAAATGATTGATTCTCAAACTTTAGCATATATCAGGACCTCTGGGAGGGGGTTTCTAAAGCACAGATTGCTTGATTTCATAGATATGGAGTGAGAGTCTAGAATCTGCATCTCATATGAGTCCCCAGGTGAAGATGTTGCTGCTGGTCCAGGAAACCTCTTTGAGAACTAGTAGTCTAGGTGATCTTTAATGTTCTGTCTCTTCTGAGCCTTTGTGCATTTATACTTCGATGCAGAATAGCTATCATTTATTGAGCTGGACCTTGTGCTAAATACACATTTAATCTTCTTACCAGTCTTTCAGGGCGTGTATGTATATGCCTGGGTATAAGTATATGTGAGTGTGCTTTAGTCAGCCTTTTGGCTGCTGTGACCAAAAAGACCTGACAAACATATTAGAGAAGGAAAAGTTATGGTTTCAGAGGTCTCAGTCCATAGAAAGCTGGCTCCATTCCTTGGAGCTCAAGGTGAGGCAGAATATCATGGCAGAACAGTGTAGCAGAGGAAAACAGCTAGAGACATGACTGTAGTATACAGAGACAGAGAAGACTCTACTCACCAGGGATAAAATATATATCCCAAAGGCATGCCCCCAACGAGCCACCTCCTCCAGCCACACCCTATCTGCCTACAGTCACCTCTCAGTTAATACCTATCAGGGATTAGCGCACTGATTGAGCTGAGACTCTTATAACCCAGTCATTTCATCTTAGACCTCCTTACATTGTCTTACATGAGCTTTTGAGGGAAACTTCATACCTAAACCATAACAAACATGGATCCTTGTGTCTCTGTCTCATTCATTCTCCTTTTTTGCTGCATACTTTGTACAAAGTATCTTTGAGGTTGTTGGTATTATCCCAGTTTTACAGTTGAGAAGTTAAAGTTTGAAGAGGTGAAATGACTTCCAAGGGTAAAACAGCTAGTAAGAAGCCAAAACCTCTTTACCCTCTATTTCTAGCCTTCTCTGGGGTATCCCTAACCAGATGTCTGTAGAAGCTTAACACATTCTCAACATTGCATGTACATTTCTGAAACTCATAGCTTCAGTCCTGAAATTATTTTGGGTTTTTTGCTTGGTCTCCACAGGCAACAAGAGGAAACTCAGATTTCTTCCCAAGGTGAACATTAAGGGAAGGCTGTCAAAAGAGCAGATGCCCTTATATTAAAATGCTTCTCTGAATTCAAATGGAAGTCCAGGACTTCCAATTGAACCCCAATTGGAGTGTGGACAGAATTTTCCAGTGAAGACTGATACTTTGATTTTAGAATTCCCTATTTCTGGGCTAAGGGTATGGTTCAGTGGTAGAGTGTCTCCCTGATATGCATAAAGCCCTGGGTTCGAACCCTATCACCATAAACACATTAAAAAAGCTTCCTGCTTTGTGTAGGTGTCTGAGTAAATAAGCAAAAAATAAATTTATAAAATTATTCCCTATTGCTAAATCTCAATTACAGAAGATAAAAGAGCAGCAACTAATGGATGAGTGTGAAGCTGGGGGATATATATATAGTGATAATGAAGAGAAAATGTATATATACATACATATTTCCCCATAGCACATAGGCAATGCCACATGGGTTCCGTTTAGGAATCTGAGAAACACATTAGATTCCAGCTGCCCAATTTTCCTTGTTATAATATGTAGAAACAGGACTCAGAGTTTCATAAAATGGACAAGATACTGGAGCAAATGCAGGTTAGAGGCCCAGAAAAAGCAGTGCTTTGTCCCAGGTCATAGGCCATCTCCATGGCAGAGTAACAGCAGGATTCAGATCTAATGTCCCACTCCATTCCTTCCCATCACATTTGTTGCAGAATAAGTTAGGTTTATCTTAAATAAGAGGCAGCTGGATTCTGTCACTCCAGCTCTTGTGTCACTAACCTAGTTGATGATTTATCTTCTCACTGGAGTCAAAGGGCTTTTGTTGCTCATAATGACTCTACTCTAAGAAATGGAAATTGCTCTTAATGCTCCATCCTGGTAAAGGACAGGAGATAGTCTGATTGCTATAACCTCAGGGTTATAAAACAATTACAAGCTTCATTTGACTCTAGAGTGAGGCCCAGGGGGATTTGAACTTTCTTAGGATCACATGGCTGTGAAATCAAAAGGAACACAAGTCTCCAGGTTCCAAGCTGAAAATACCTTTCCTTCCCTCCTTGAGACAATCTATTATAAGAGGCAGACAAACTTGGGTTGTGCCTGGGCTTCTACACTTATTAGTTTTAAGGTCTTCTGTGAATTTTTTTTTCTGGTGAATTAACATCACTGAACCTCAGTTTTTTGACCTATAAAATGGGTAATCCCTTTTTAGAGTTTGTGATAGAGATCTGTAACAGGCTGGCCAAGTGCTTGGTAAATGTGATATTTCTTCCCTTCTAAACAACTTCAGTATATATATTCTAAGAGATTCTTTGAGATCTACTTTACACATAGTGAAACACAGACCTTAATTGTGTATTTGATCAGTTTTGAAACTGATCTGTTTTGAAAATGCATCTACCCATGAAATCCACCATTCTGTCAATTACCCCAGAAAGTTCCCTCATATTCTTTCAGTCATTCTCCCCTAGAAGCAACCATTAATCTCATTTATATTACCATGTCTATTAAAACAATTAATCTTGTACAATATATACTCACTTGTGTCTTATCTTTATTTATACACTTTGTTGCATGTGTCAGTAGTTTATTCCTTCAGCATACTTTTAGTTTTGAATGCCCCAATTAAAAAATTCCTAGTAGGGGGCTGGGGATGTGGTTTAGTGATAGTGTCTGCCTGCTATATATGAAGCCCTGGGTTTGAAACCCAGCACTGAAAATAAATTAGATCTACAACAGTGCTTCTTGCTTTGTGTAGGTACCTGTGAGTAAACAAGCAATAATAATAATAATAATAATAATAATAATAATAATAATAATAATAAATAATAAAATAAAAAGTCCTAGTAGAACCATGAAAATACAAGGGATAGGCGGGGCGGGGGGTCAGTGGATTAGAAGTCAGAATAACTAGGTTCGAGGATTGGCTCTATCAATATGGAACTTTTGGGATAATCCATTTTTGTCTTCATTTTACTCATGAGTTAACTGGCCCAGGGAGGGAAACAGACTTGTCTAAAGTCAACCATTCAGCCAGTGGCAGAATCAAGGATTGTTCCAGGTTACTCAATTCCTGGTTTATTGCATATAATGGATTTTTAGAAGTGGATTTTTATGTAGATCAATAACTTTCAAGGATAGAATGCCTGGGTCAAATGGGTGGTTTTCTTAGTTAAGGCCAGCAGATTCCTTAGCTACATGTTTTAGTCCTTTCCCTTTGGATGAGGATGTCTGTTCTTCTGCCTTAGAAGCTTGAGAAATGGCCAGCTGTGGATTCTAAAAGGGTATGTTTTAGTCACTGAGAAAGAAATAAAAATCTTGGTATTTTGAGTATTTGGACACTGTAGCAATGCTGAGACCTCTATCTCCTCTGTTTCTAGGACACATAGTGTAATTAAGGAAGGAAAACTGTCTGAGTAGACAATGGGCATGTCTAGAACTAGACCAGCTGGAAAGATACCACAGGCACAAAGTGACCAATGGGTTTTGGGCTTGTTTCATCTGTACTTTGATTTCTTCTTGATGTTTTCATCTCCAATTGTCTGATTGACCTGCAGAATCTGGAATGATTCATTTAGCTTTACACTCCCCCTGGAATCATTTATTCTCAGACATTTCCACTCACTTTAGGGAATCAGCTCACCATTCAGGCAAAATGCCCAGGCTCTGAAGAATGATTATTCTTTAAAAAATAGCTGTAAGGAAGGGAAGAATCCTTTCCACTTCCTCCACTCCTTTAAGTCTTGCAGAGAAAGGAGGCCATGCATTTTCTACAGGGAGAAAGTGTAAGGTTTCAATCTGGACTCGCTCCAGTTCTTTTTGGATTTCTGAAGTCAGCAGCCCAAGGATTTAGTCTGTCAACTTCACCTGAGGGAGAGACAGAAGTATCTTCTTACTCATCTAGTAAAGCACATTGCAGTGCACCTATGTACTGAGTATGAAGCCAAGTCCTTGGCCAAAGACCTTGCAGGGAAGAGCTTAGCCATCAGTCTGCCCTAGGTCTAGTCAAGAGACAACCAGCCAAGAGGTCTCTCCACTCATTGCTGGCACTGCACCTCTTTCCAGGAGTTACCCAAAGCTGCCAGAGGTAAGTGTAGATTATATAGGGAGAAACTCAGACCACATTGCACAGAGCACAGAGACCAGTATGGACTTTAGAGCAACATATGCCTGGAACCCAATTCTTAGGTCTTACCTTTATTTTCTCCTCTGTAAAAAGGAATGAATGCTATGTTCTAAGGATTAAATTAGACAGCCTACCTCAGGACAGTCACTAGCACATAAGAATGGGGTGCCAGACACTGTTTCTAAGCTCACCACCAATATTAATTCTTTCAACAATTCTATGAGGAAGGTCCAAACTAATGTTTTGAGGCTTGTGAGGAAAGCATACAATACACACATACACACACAAGAAAAAAGATTTTGAGATGTTAAGTAACTTTTCCAGTTAGGGGTGGTGTATTTGCCTATAATCTCAGTAACTCAGGACTGACTGTGGCAGGAGGATTGCAAATTCAAGGCCAGCCTCAGCAACTCAGACTCTTTCTCAAAATAAAAAATAAAAAGGCTGATGATGTAGCTATGTGGTATATGCCCACTGAAGAGTTTTATCCCCAATACTAAAAAAAAAAAAAAAAAAAAGTGTCCAGTCACACAACTAGTAAATTGTGTAAAGGGATTGACAGCACAGACTCTGGAACTGGATTGCCTAAATTAAATGTTCAATAAATATTAGTTATAATCACTCAATAAATGGTAACAATTTTTATTTATTTTTTGTTACTGGGGATTGAACTTGGAGTGCTCTTACTACATGGCTACATCCCCAATTTTTTTTAATTTAGAGGCAAAGTCTCACTAAGTTGTCCACGCTGGCCTCAGACATTTTTTTTTTTTTATTTTTATTGTTGGTTGTTCAAAACATTACATAGTTCTTGATATATCATATTTCACACTTTGATTCAAGTGGGTTATGAACGCCCATTTTTACCCCGTATACAGATTGCAGAATCACATCAGTTACACATCCATTGATTTACATATTGCCATACTAGTGTCTGTTGTATTCTGCTGCCTTTCCTATCCTCTACTATCCCCCCTCCCCTCCCCTGGCCTCAGACATTTGATTCTTCTGCCTCAGCCTTCTGGGATTACTAGGTGTGTGCCACCACACCCAGCTATATGTTTTTTTGTTTTGTTTTTGGTATTGGGGATTGAACCCAGGGGTGCTTTACCAGACTATACCCCCATTCCTTTTTTATTCTGAAACAGGGTTTTACCAAGTTGCTGAGAACCTAGCTGATTTGCTGAGGCTAGCCTCAAACTTGCCATAGAACTGCACCACCTTGCCTGGCTCCAGCTATCATTAAAGGCTCAACTTGACTAACTTCCTCCTCTTCTTTGAGATTCTTGGTGACAGCTCTAGAGCACACTGCTTCCTCCCTCTGATGATCCACAGCATTGAGTACACACAGACCCAAAGAAACACGTTTATATATTCACCTGATCATCCCCTTTGGCCTTAAATAAGATTCTACTGTTTCTTTAACTCCTCATGTCCTCTTCTCTTTCTTTCCTTCTTTCCTAAAAATACCAACACAAAGGTTCAAATTTTAGGGCTTACTATACTTCAGGTTTGGGTTTTTTAAATGTAGGTGCTCAAAAAGTATTTGTTATTAATAATGATGAAAGCATTCTAGCTTCTGTGGCTAGAGCCACTCCCCTAACCTTCTTCTCACTCCCAAATGTCTCAAGGGGCTATTCAGGAATAGCGGGTGGTCTCACTGAAGAAGAATGAGAAGTGATGGCAACTTCTATAATAGAACACAAGCCCCTGAAAAGAGGCAGTATCATTCAGCTCCAGCAATTTGTTGTCAAGTAGAAATATAAGCTCTGTGTTCATAGCATCTCCATTTTTCAAAAACTGAAAATCTGTATTTTAATGTTAAACATACTTTTAAAATGTCAGGCCAGCTTTCTGTATTGGTTGAGTTGGGGGAAAATTCTGCATCTGTTAATCAACAGAGTCTGGCATGTAACAGGTACTCAATATTTTTTGAGTAAGTTTCCATGTTGGCTTTCTTCCTTTATTAAACAGAATAAAACACTCAGAGTAGGTGATAAAAAGACAGAGGCACTCACATCACTGCTGGAAGCTAAATTAGTTGGTCCAGTGTTGTTTTATTTCCATCTCTCAAACTAGACCCTAAGAAACATGAAGGCAGAGATCACATTCCAACACAGTGCCTTAGAAATACTTGATATAATTGAACCCATGACTGAAAAATTGAAGACCTGATTATGTAACCAATTTAACTTCAGTTTGTGAATTTACTTCTAAAATTAAAACATCCCTATAATCATCTTAGTATTTGGCACACTGACGCAAGAGGTGGGGTAAGGGAGCTTCCTTTACCCCACTTCTTGTTATACATGGCAAATATTGGTGGAACAAGAAGGGTGAGAATGTGTGAGATCTGACCATTAAACATGGCAGTTCAGTATGGTAGTCATATCCAAATTTATGGTGTCTGGCTCTCAATCCTAGTCCAAAAGACCATCTCCAAGTTTGACACCTCCTGGCCCATACTCCCACCATGATCTATGTGCTGGTTTCTGCAGGACCATCCTCTGGGGACAGGTGGTTTGGGTCTCAGCGGTGGGTGCTAACTTGCTCTTTTCTTCTCTGTAGCTCCTCCCGCCGCTTTGCCTGCTGTTCACTCATGCAATCCCTGAAGGCCTGCACCTGTGGCTGGCACTGCCGCCAGTCCTGGTGCTGGGCCATGCACTCCTGCACTGCAAAGTGGGAGGCAGCACAGCCAGAGCGGGAGATGAGCTGGTCCAGAGGATCTACTTCTTCATCCTCCTTCTTCACCTGTCGGGCCCAGTTATGGCCTTGAGGGACTGAGGTTGACATCTTGAAGTCTAGAACATCAACAGAGACAAGGTAAGAGTATAATTATGATTATAATAAGGTCCCTGTGTCATAAATAGCACCAACTAAACTGCACTATTAGAGCTTGCTTATGTATTTATCTCCCCTAGAAGACTAAGCTCTTTTTTAAAATATTTATTTTTCAGTTATAGGTCAACACAATGCTTTTTATTTATTTTATGTGGTGTTAAGGATTGAACCCAGTGCCTCACCCATGGTAGGCGAGCGTCTACCTCTGAGCCACAACCCCAGCCCGAAGACTAAGCTCTTTGAGGAGAGATATTGAGCCTGATTTACTTTGGTGTCCCCAGCAGTAGGCCTGGCAGAAAAAACAGGCCTAGAAAATGGTTCGTATTGAACAACATTATATATTTGAGAGTGCTTTAAACAGCATTCAATAAGCTCAATAAATTCTGCTGATGGAATATGAATTAAGTGAAATGTCATCTTTTTGGAGAAGCCATCTCTGACCTACCTGAAAAGAACTAACCGTTAGTTATTGTTGTCTCCTTTGGCTTTATTCTATGCCTGAGGAAGAATAAGTTTAACACTTGGGATGATACCCAAATACGGGTAGGTTTTGACATGGGAGGAATGGAAAGAGTTCACTTTGAATGTAATAAAACATTCAGACGCCAGGGCAAGAGTTCAGTCTATAGAGTAAGTGAAAATGCTTTGTCAGCTATGCCCAAATGTGAGGTATGTTTGCCCAGAATATGTCCCCAAGATCATCTGCTTCACAGCAGTCAAAAGAAAGTAGCAGAGCTGGGTGCAATGGTGCAAACCTGTAATCCCAGTGGCTAGGAGGCTAAGACAGGATATTGCAAGTTCAAAGCCAGCTTCAGCAACTTAGGTCCTAAGCAATTTGACAAGCCCTGTCTCCAAATAAAAAATAAAAAGACCTGGGGATGTGGCTCAGTGGTTAAGTACCCCTGAGTGCACTTTCCAGTACCAAAAAAAAAAAAGAAAGAAAGAAGCAAAGAACTTAAGAAACATTTGAAGAGAAATGATTACCCTTTCACAAATTTTGTCATGATGAGCTAGCTGTAAAAGAGCGTTAGAATTTCTTTTCTTTTTTTTTTTTTAAAGAGAAAGTGAGAGACAGAGAGTAAAGAAAGAATTTTTTAATATTTATTTATTTTTTTTAGTTATCGGCGGGCACAACATCTTTGTTTGTATGTGGTGCTGAGGATCGAACCCGGGCCGCACGCATGCCAGGCGAGCGCGCTACCGCTTGAGCCATATCCCCAGCCCCGTTAGAATTTCTTAATGCCTCTCTTGTGTCTCATTCATTCAACAGATAATTTTTTTTTTTTTTTTTTTTTTTTTTTTTGGTGCTGCTGAAGATGGAATCCAGAACTTCAAACATGCTAAGCAAATGCTCTTACAACTGGGCTACATTCTTAGCCCCAGAAGATGATTATTGCGTACCTACCATGTATCAGTCACTATGCTAGAGTATCCAAAAAAGATATAGTTCCTGTTTACAATGTAGATAAGTAAGCAGACAGTTTCAACATGTGTATAGATAGCTAGGATTGGGAACACAGTGGAGGGGTACTTAATCCAGATACAGGGCAAGAATAGGCACAGAAGACTTCCTGGAGGAAGTGATTTAAAAAAATGAGACTTAAAGGATAAGTGGGAGTTGGCTAGAGATGGGAAGAATATTTCTGGCCAGTGGAAGATAGAGACAGAATTTAACATATAAGAGGAACCAAAAGTTCAGTGATGGGCCTGAGGGTGCAGCTCACATGTGTGAGGCCCCAGGATTTGATCCCTAGCACCACAAAACACACAAAGAAAAAACCTGGCTGGAGATGAGAACAAGACCAGAAATGAAAACTGGTAAAATGACTAAGCATCTCATCATAGAAAGGCTTTGCAGGCCATATTAAGGAGTTAGGACTTTTATCCTAAGAACAATGGGGAAATCACAAGAGGAATTTAATCTCTACACAAAATTCACTTGCTTTGAAGGCAGTATAATTTAAGGGAAGAAAGGAAATGGCTTTGAAATAGACATGGATTGGAAACCTTGCGTTGTCACTGTTTCATTGGATGCTCTTGTGCAAGTCACTTAGAAACCTCTTTTGAAAAACAGATGATAATGTTTGTAAGGAGATTGACGCGAACAAAAGTTTAAATATATGAGAGTTCCTATTACTGTATATGTTTCCGCTTCCTATGACATTGTGAGCTCTTCAAAGGCCAAGAGCAAATCAATGAAATCAAGAACGGTGGAAAGGAAAGTACCTTGGATTCTAAACAAAGAGATCCAAATTCAAATCCCAGTACCACGCCTTACCGTGTAATAATTTTCATTTCTCATTAATAATGCTTAACTCGCAGAATTTAAGTATTAACATAATGAATGAAAAATGCTTTGGGCTACAATAGGCTTTGTAAACGCTATCTTAAGATCCCCCCCTCCATCATCTGATTTCAGTCTCCTGTGGAGTAAAATGAGGGCGACCCCTGCTCAGAATTCAGGGCAGGTGAGATAGCTGGCAACTGAACAGTGGAAGTTGGCTTGAACTAGGAAGGTACAGAAAGGATCGGAAAGCAGAGCAATCCAGGTTAGGTCACCTTAAGCTCCTCTGCCACTTTAAGGAGAGGACGCAAGCGTGTACGGCAGCCGAGTGCACACGCGTTCTGTCCGCAGTGCCTCCCGGCGCAAGGACTAGGGGTGTCGTGCTCACGGAAAAGGTGGGAGGAGAGGACCCAAATGGAGCGACGGCGCAGGTTCTTCAGGCAGTTAGAGATCCTCAGCGTCTCTCCACAAGAACCAGCCCCTCACGGCAGCACGCCGACGGAAGGGCAAGATAATGCATTTTCATTGGTGGTTTCTCCGTGTATTTCCCGCCCTCCGTTCCTACCGCCTGTTTGGGGGCTCCACTTCCGGGAAGGGGCGGAAGAGGCGGGCTAATGGAGGCGGGGTCAAGATGGCGGCGCCTTTGAGGATTCAGAGCGACTGGGCCCAAGCCCTCAGGTGAATCCAGGCCCAGATCAGGGTCAGAGGAGGCGGGTAACGGATGTTGCCTTAACGTCAAGGAGAGCCATGCCTGACCTGGATATCCACAGAGGTTAACCTTCAATTGTTGAGGAAGCTGGAGGCCACAAGGTCCAGAAAAAAAGTCCCAAACCCGCATGGTTATTGCTTTTCATTCTTTGCAGTTGTCCTGAGGCCAAGGGAATACGTACGCACTGTGTGATCCCTGCGTAAGAAATAGTATCAATGAGTGGACAAACTGGGAGACAGGAAGACATTTGGCCAAGTAGTCATTTTGAAAATATTTCTTGGTCATCAGTTATTTGTAAAAGTTCCAGTACTCACTACCACTTTTGTGTTTTATGGACTCTATTTTCGTGCGCCCCCAGCGCCCTATTAGATGTATTGCACAGTTCTGTTCAGAAAACCATGCCAAGTCCAGGCCCTGTCCTAAAGCTCAGTGGAGCTCAGATGTGTATTCTAAATTTAAGTGATAGTTCCTGCCCTTCAAGAAGGTGACATTTAATTGGAACTACGCAGTAAATCATTCATTCATTCATTTAATGTATATTTGTTGATCATATACTGTGCCAATTATTTCTCTAGGTATCAGGATGAATACAGCAATGCCATAAATGACAGTTGCTGTTACTAATTGATTAGTAACTGTTATCACTATTGAAACAATGGTGAAGATGGATGAAACACAGCCTCCTGCACTTAAGAAATTTATACTTTGGTAGGTGGGACTAACCAAAATACACATTACTTATTAGTGTGCAAAATATGATGTTATAAATGAATAACAGTACCATTAAGTGCCACAAGGTACCTATGAAACAATTCAGGATCAGAATCAAAGGCAGCTGCTCATGTGATAGAAGGCTGCTGTCAACCTGGAGCTTTCTGAGTTAAAGGTCTAGGTCCTTTCCATCTTACCTAAGAGATCAGGATTTAGAGGATTTGGAGTCATGCATTCTAAAACATGTAAAAAGTCAGCATGAGGTTTTAGAAAGAACACATATTGTGAACCAGTTCCAGATTTCAATTCTTACTTCATAGCTAGGGGTTTGGGGCAAGTCACTTATCCCAGACCCTCAAGTTTTTGCATTTAATATGGGGATAATAAAAGGTATCTTGTTTGGTTTTTGTAAGGAATAATTATGCTATATGCAAAATGTCTAACTCTTGTTTTATAGTTATCTCAATAAATGCCTAAATATAAATAATCTTGATTTTTTTCAAAGCAAGCTCCCTATTGATCAAAGTATTTGAGAATCGATTTAACTAGTGATATCTATTCATTAAATACTTAATCCACAAATATTTCTTTAACAATAAAATTTGACTGTCTTAAAATAATGTATGCCTGGATGGGAGATTTAGGTACAGTGAACAAACTGAAGGTTATATGACCTTTCTCCCAAGTGTCATTCTTTTCAACTTTGAGCCTAATTAGGCTTTTGTCTCTCTTCATAGGAAAGATGAAGGGGAGGCCTGGCTGAGCTGTCACCCTCCAGGTAATGTCTATAAATCTATTTGTTCTCCTTTGAAAAAAAGATTTACTACCCCTAGTACAAAGCTGCCTATTTTTTGCTGGCCCACCCTTCTGGCACAATGCTTATAGTTTACAAACATGCTTGAGTAGTTTGTATTTTACTGAAATAATTCCCACTCCTCTATTCTAGAAGGGCTTCAGATTGTGTTTTCCATTTGTAAGCCACAGATGTTTATGGAGATATTATTAATGCTTTTGTGTGTGGGAGAGAGAGAGAAAGAGAGAGCATATATGAATGAGATATTGGGGATTGAAATCAGGGCCTCTCATACACTAGGCAGGTAGGCTACCACCACGCTACTTCTCCAACCTTTTTTTTTTTTTTTTTTTGCCATACTGGTGGTTAAACTCAGTGGTGCTCTATCACTGAGCTGTGTGTGTAGCACTTTTTCTTTTTTATACAGGGTCTCACTAAGTTGCCCACATTGATCTCCAACTTTTGATCCTTCTGCCTCAGCCTCCAAAGTAGCTGAGATTACAGGTACCACTGCACCTGTGCTGGTGCATTTTAATTAGCCCATTAGCCTTTATGTGATATATTCTACAGTTTTTTTATCTAATTTTTTTGGTGGTACTGTGTATTGAACTTAGGAGCACTCTACCATTAAGCCATATTCCCAACCCTCAAGGCCTCGATAAATTGATGAGGCTGACCTTGAACTTTTGATCCACTTCCTTAGCTTCCTAAATAGTTGGGATTACAGGCATGTGCCACTGCATCAAGCTGAGAAAATATTTTAAACATAGAATCTTTCTTGAGGAAATTGGTGCTGTATGGATGAAGCTAAAAATCTCATAGTCCAGAGCTTTTTTTTTTGTTTGTTTTGTTTTGTTTTTTAAAGATGGAAAATAATTGAAGAAAGAGCAATTTTAAAAATACAGTTTGAAGCTAGATGTGGTGGCACATGCCTGTAATCCCAGATTGAGTTAAGAGGATGGCAAGTTTGAGGCCAGCCTCAGTAACTTGGCAAGGCCCTAAACAACTTAGTTAGATCCTGTCTATAAATAAAATATAAAGACTGGGGATGTAGTTCAGGGGTAAAGTGGTTCTGGTTCAATCCTCAGTACCTAAATAATAATAAATAAAATGTAGTTTGGAGGTAAAGGAAAGAAGGATTAACTGAATAACCAATATCTTTGAAGAAAAAGAAAGAGATTGAATTACATGTCTAACTCTAGCCAGGAAGTTAGACATGTAATTGTTATATGGGCTTTGATTTGAATATAAAAGTCAAAAGAATGGACAAAGTGTTTAGCTTCATTCTAGTGTCTGCATATGTTTATATTTAGGACAGTATTTCATTCAGTTCATATGACTGCAAAAATTCTATTTAGGCATATTTTCTAGAATACTGAAGTTTAATTATTTATGATGTGTTATATAGTGTATATACTGTTGGCAAATACACATATATATGATGATCTTCACCTTTCATCCTGGAAGAATTCCATTTCATAGCCATAAAAGCAGGTTGAGATCACTTCAGCAGCTTTTTCTATAAATGTTATATCTCTAAATCTCCATTCCTAACTTTTAAATCTTTTAGCATATTCACTCCCAAAATAGGTTTACCCTTTCTACCTCACCTGAATTTCAACACAGGTATCTGTTTTCCTTTCGTGGGCCAATTTCATTATAGGTTCCATCTATACAGATGCTTGAATTGGGTCTGTAAGGAGAAAAATAATAAGTTCTTATAATTTTTTAAGACAAACTTTTAATTTTTTTTTCCCATGTAGGGAAACCATCTTTGTATGGCAGCCTAACTTCTCAAGGAATTGGCCTAGATGGTATCCCAGAGGTTACAGCCTCAGAAGGATTTATTGTAAATGAAATAAATAAGGTAAGTTTTTATGTCTTCTAGATGGCATACTATTCAGAAGTATGGCCTTACCTCTATATCTACTTCAGATATTTACACTGTTATCTATACATGTGTCATCTCTATTTTATTTGTATAATAATCATACTGTTTGCTCCTTTGAATGTCAAGAGTTTTCTTCTTGTCTTTAATTATATTTACTTTAAAATGGAAATGTATTTCTTCTTATTTACCTTGCACCAGCTGTGATAATAACAAACTACATATACAATTTTGAATTTTCTTGTAGCCACATTAAAAAGGTAAAAGAAATAGGTGAGCTTAATTTTAATAATCTACCTTACTTAACCCAATATGTCTAAAATATTATTTTAATTTTTAAATAATATACATATTTACTAATAAGGTATTTTATATTACTTTTTAAAATTTTCACAATTTTCTATTTTACATTTATAGCACATCTCAATTCAAACTTTTTTTTTAATTAGGAATGACTTGATCTGTATTTATATTTCATAAGATTTACAGTTGAGCTGGTGGGGTAGTGCGTTTAGTTACATCCCAGCAAGTCAGGTTGCTAAGGCAAGAGGATCACAAATTGGAGACAATCCTGGGTGATGTAGCAAGATTCTGTCTTAAAAATAAAAAGTATTGAGGATATAAGTCAGTAGTAAAGCACCCCTGGGTTCAATCCCCACTCCCAAAAATAAAATAAAATTTACAATTGAAAGCATAGATTCATAGGGGTTAGAGAGTGTAGCTCAGTGGTAGAGTATGTCCTCAGTGTTTGTGGGGCCCTTGGTTCAGTCCTTAGCACAAAAATCCTCCCTGATTTTATATGGGTACATATGCCTGTACTCCTGACTGCTTTGGAGGCTGAGGCAGGAGGATCACAAGTTCAAGGCCAGTCTTGAAAATTTAGAGAGACTGCCTCAGAAGTGAAAAATATTTTAAAGGGTGGACTGGGGATATAACTCAGTGGTAGAGCACCCACTAGGGTTCAGTCTGCAGTACTGCGAAAAAAAATTCATATTGTTGCAAACATACCTAAAAGTTTTCTTTTTTAGTACTATATCACTGAGCTAAATACTCAGGCCTTTTTATATTTTATTTTGAGACAGGGTCTTGCTAAGTAGCTTAGAACCTCACTGGCCTTGTATTTAATTTATTTATTATTTATTTTTTGTTTTTGGTACTGGGGATTGAACCAAGGGGTGCTTAACCACCAAGCCACATCCCCACCCCTTTTTATTTTTTATTTTGAGACAAGGTCTCTAAGTTTCTTAGAGCCTCACAAAGTTGCTGAGGCTGGCTTTGAACTCACAGTTATTCTGCCTTAGCCTCCTGTGTCACTGGGATTACAGGTATGCACTACCATGCCCAGCTTTATTTTTAAATTAAACTTCACGTTAAATAAAATTTAAAACTTAGTTCTTCATTTGCACTGGCGTATTTCAAGTGTTGAATAGCCCGAATGTGCCTAGAATCTACCATATTGGATAGTATAGCTTCACGAACTACATCTGGCTAGGTCTTGGTGAAAAGTGTACATTAATAGTATATTAATAGTATTTAAGAGTTTTTCTCATTTGTTTTTGAGGTAAATAGATGGCTAAAGTATTACAGAACTCATGATCTACCTTTTCATACTCATTCTAATGGCTATAATCAGTGTGCTCTGGTGAGATGATTCCCAAAGGGTGAACCAGTCTTTTATTTATTTTTTATTTCCTTTTATTTTTTTGTGTATATTTTAATTTTATTTTTTGGTTTTAAGATATTTGAGTATACTGACAAGAATAGAGAATACTTTGTTATTTACATAAAATTTTTTACCAAATGTGCATTCATTACCCTTTGTGTGCTGGGTTATAGGCTTCATGTTACATATTTTCATAAGCAGCTATGGTTGTAGAAAGTGTCAGAAGATCTGAGTTTAAGTCTTAGTTAACTCTGATACTTATTAGGTTTGTGATTTTGGACAAATAAAAGTTACCTGAGTCTCAATTTTTTCATCTAGATCACAGAGATAATACTGTACCTCATAGAATGGTTAATGGAGAGTTAGGATACAAATGATAAAACTGTAGAATATTGCAAAAAAAAAGGTTATTTTTATCATAATAATCCTGTGGGCTTGGCATTTTAAATTTCCATTTTTTTCAGATAAGTGTTATACTCAGGTTAATTAATCCCTATTAATCAAAGTCAAACTGTATGCTGGAATTGAAACCCAGTTTTATTGATTCCAACTTCAACACCACCTTGCAAGTCTCTGGTATTCTCAGATGTTTTGCCAGTATCCATCCACAGCCTGGATACTGATTTTTATATACCTTTTTTTCTTAAGTTTTCAAAATTCTATGCATATTTTATACTTGTAGCACATCTCAGTTTAGACTCTTTAAGTTTTTTATTGGAAATACTTGATTTATATTTCTTCCCTTCATACTTAGGCCTGGATACAATCCTAATCTCTTCAAACATCATTGCTAATTTCTGCTGTGAACCTGCTGGGTGGGTTCAGACAGTAAGTGCTTATGGTTGAACATTAATTTGTTTCCTAACTGCCATGAGTCACTTTGCTATTTGATGTTGCTACAGTGTTTTGTTAAATAGTATACCTGTCGTTATGCTTAAATGCCTAACTCTGGAATATAAAAAAAATTGACTTTGAATTTCATTCTAGTGTGGCATACTCACTTTTCCCTCCTTGGATTTGTCTGTTTTGATATCTCCTGCAGCTTTCCTTTAAATTTTTTTTTTTCATTAACAGCATGATTGTCTACTGCTGACATTGGAAGATAGCTCAGTATTTATCTTCTTCCATAGTCTGTTTATGGATTAATGGTTGATTTGTAAGGTTGATAAGCAGGAGAAAATCACTGATTCTTGAAATTTTTCATGTAATTTTCCCCAAAGAAATGAAGTCTTCTGGGCTGGGGTTGTGGCTCAGTGGTAGAGTGCTCGCCTAGCATGCTTGAGGCACTGAGTTCCATTCTCATCATCACATAAGTGTAAAATAAAGATATTGTGTCCACTTAAAAAAAACTAAAAAATAAATATTAAAAAAAAAAAAAAACAAGAATGAAGTCTTCTGAGAGCAAACCCAGTTTTTACAAAGGTCTGAACATTAACCTTTTGGAACTCCTTGCATCCATGCTGGTATGACTATTTAGCCAAGAGTTTAGCTGACACATCAGTTTCTGGTGTAGGACATAGTTCTGAATCCAGGTCAGCTGTCTTGCAGCTATATGGGCTTTGTCATGCAGTTAGAAGCAGAAACTAATTTAGTGAAAAGACTGTAGGCAGCCAGGCATGGATATGCTGGCTAAGAAAGTGCTGTTTGTGTAGATATTCTAATTGTCATTTAAAAGGAGTAGATGGCCTGTAATGAGAACATAATTGATTTTCAGTAATGAAAATATGATTTTGAAGCTGTTCTTTCTAATGTAATGTGAGGATCTGTGCCTGTTGGATATAAAAAGGTTCAGAAAATCTTGATTATTGAAGGCATGTTCATTGCCCTCCAGAATTTCCAGAAAATCTGAAGTACTGTGGCAGAAGATATAACAGATTAGGGGCTCTTTAGTGAGTTAGCTCCTCATAAGAGATATACAATTAAGTCGTATTCTGTTGGTTAGAGTATTCTTTGATTAAAGGATGTCATATTGCAAGAATCCTTGACAAAAAGTTGACCAAGCCTTTTATTAGTGTACTGCCTTTATCAGTCAGCTACCTTGAAATGCCAACATACTTGGGAAAATTATTATAAATGACCATTAGCAAGTCTCATATCACCTGAATTTAACATCTGGTTGTAGGCATACTTTCCTACTACACTACCAGCCGAAAGACATGAACATGACTAGTCAAAACACATGGGGCATCATAAAACAACTATGTGATGATGGCCAATCTATGATCAGGTTGTCAGTTTTAAGTGTTAGGTGGGAATGGGCACTGCAGTTCTGACCCATCCCTACACATTTATGGATATACCATAATTTACTTTACCAATTTCTCTAGTAACTATAAATGTCAGTAATCTAACAGGTTTTTCTTAAAGTTCTTATAGGTAGTAGGGGCTGGGGTTGTGGTTCAGTGGTAGAGCACTCGCCTCACATGTGTGGGACCCTGGGTTCGATCCTCAGCACCACATAAAAATAAATAAGTGGAAAAAAAAAGTTCTTATAGGTAGCAAGTTCACTTTTAGACTTGTTTAGACCCTAGACTTGGGGGCAGGTGCTAAATTTCCTCACATCTCTTTATGTACTCTCCTGCTTACCCTGTTCCTTGTCCCATTGCTAATTGAGAATATTGAGATTTGATTTTCTTCTAAAAATTAATGCTCTCTTGCTTTTCAGTTGTATCATATTGTTAGTCTGTCCTCTAGGGGACCATTTACATAAAAACAAAATGGCATCTCAGTGATTCTAAATTGCAGTGCAGCACTCTGCAGTGAAAGGACTTCTAAACCAAGGGAGGGTTCTAGTTTTGTGGGCTGGGCAAGAATTAGAATGAGAATTTCCTGTGGTCTTAATGTTTTCTTTGAGAGGCTTTAATTACTTGGGAGTAGCTTCACTGACAGATTTCATCTTTTCCTCTTTGTTTAGAAAAGCATTCATATTTCATGTCCAAAGGAAAATACATCTTCTAAGTTTTTGGCACCATATACTACTTTTTCCAGAATTCATACAAAGAGTGTAAGTATTTTGATAAATAAAAAGTGTAATAGCATGCTAATTCTTTTACTTTATCTGCTTTTCTAGTGCTGTAAAGATATTCATAATTAATGAGTCATTCATTTGCTCTACATTGTAAAATGATACAGCTGATGAAGTATGATGTGTGGCAAAACTGGTGTGAGGGTCCGGAGTATGTATACAGACAGGCTCACTGGTAATCTTAGAGATTGTCTGAAATTTTTTAAAATATATTTTAGCAGAGTCACTTATCAGCTTTTGGATAATGATATAATAACCGATGCTTGCATAATTTGGCACTTCTCATATTTCATTACCTTGTCTACTAGACAGGAACATTTTCTCAATATTCTAAATATACCTCATTGAGGAATAATTTTCAGATGTTTTTTGTAATAAAGCCCTTTCTACTTTTTTTTTTAGCTTTTTTAAAGCAGAAGTGAAAAAGTGGTGGATAAGTCTCCTTTTCACTGTGTGGTACATTTTTTTTTAAAGCTATTTTTTGTTGGGTGCAGTGGCATATAACATAATCCCAACTACTTGGGAGACTAAGGCAGGAGATTTGCAGGTTTGAGGCCAGGCTGGGCAATTTGGTGATACCCTGTCTCAAAAACCAAATAAGAAATGGCTGACATCCATTGAGTGGTTTACCTACCATTGCATGAGCCCCGGGTTCAATCCCTAGTACTGCAAAATCAAATAAGTTACTTTTTACTCTTGTTGCAAAGCAAATAAATATTTATAGTGATAAAATTAGGAAATAGAAAGTAAAAAATTACTCCTGTTTTTATATTCTAAAAGATAATTGTTGTGAACTTTTATAGCCTTTATTGATAATAATAATAATAGCAATGATAACTAATATTTATTTATTGCTTTCTATGAGTTAGCTCCATGTTGAACTTTACATATTATTATTTTACTTTATTCTCTCAGTCTTTGGGAAACTCTTATGTAGGCAAGTTTATAACTTGCTTTTTATTACTTAATATGTACATTATTCTCAATCATCTTTCCTAGTGTTCTTGTAGGAGATGCATAGTATTACATTGTATGACTTTGTTATAATTTATTTTTCTAGTCTTACATTACCAAACATACAGGTGTTTCCATTTTCTTCATTTGTGTTATGAACATAGGATGTATATCTCCATTTATACCTTGATAGAAGTATCTTTGCTTGAATCCTTCTGGTGTATGTTGGAAGATTATCTTTTGTATAAGTGGGTTCCTAAGAATTAGGAGAAATATCCTAAAAAAATAAATCATGAAAGATGGAAACTTTATAGGGAAAACCTTTTAGTTATAGTAGAACACTAGAGATGATTACAGGAAGTAAAGGATATTTATTTCAGCCTTGTGGGGAGGTTGGTGATGAAAACAGCCTTCGTATCAAACACAGGTCCTTGCTGTTGGGAAGCATAGTCTTGAAGAAGATTTGGAAGACCATGAAAAAAGGAGATTTATAACATGTTTCAAGGAAATAAGAGCATTTCATTATTTGTATTATAAATTGTTTTGTCTTTTGAACAGATAACATGCCTGGACATTTCCAGTGGTGGCGGCCTTGGTGTGTCTTCTAGTTCTGATGGTAGCATGAAGATCTGGCAGGCTTCCAATGGAGAACTCAGAGTAAAGGATTTGGATACACTTTTAGAATCTTATACAGGGTTTCAGAAACCTTGGATTGGGTCATGAAAGGAAGAATGGCCCATTGAAAATATGTAGGACCACTGTACTTAAGTTGATCTCTGGTCTCATGTTTGTTAATTGGTACTATCCTCAAGCTTAGTGATTTACCAGACCCGGACAGAGTGGGACTGTAGCATTTGAGTCAGACCAGTGAGTGTCTTAGGTGGGTGGGCCCTTGGTTTGAACTGCCTTCAGTGACCAGTTTCTAACGCAGAGTAGCTAGGCTATTAGGGTAAGTATGGCTAAGCTTCAGCCTGTACAAATGATCTTAAGGAGAGATGTGGAAGAGTTCTGAGTGTCCTCAACTCATACTTAGAACTAGAACTAGGGATGGCTGTGAGACCCTAGAATTTAGTGCTATAACATCTGTAGCTCAGTCCCAGGAAAAGAAGCCAACCAGCTCTTAGAATACTACTTGGTAGACAAATTATCTAAAAAGTCCTCTGGGCAGCCTTTTTATTTTATTATTTTTAACTTTATTTTATTTATTTAATTTTATGTGGTGCTGAGGATTGAACCCAGGGCCTTGCACATGTGAGGCAAGCGCTCTACCGCTGAGCCATAACCCCAGCCCCTGGGCAGCCTTTTTAAAAATGTTGTATGAGGGGTTGGCTGGGGTTATAGCTCAGTAGAGCACTTGCCTCGTACATGTGAGGCACTGGGTTTGATCCTCAGCACCACATAAAAATAAATAAAGATATTGTGTCCATCTTTAAAAAAAAATGTAGTATGAATTCCAGACATACTGGCACATGCCTGTGATCCCAGTTTCTTAGGAGGCTGAGGCAGGAGGATTGAGTTAGCCTAGAAAATTTAATGAGATCTTGTCTCAAAAAAAAAAAAAAAAAGTAATAAATCTAGTATGAGCTGAGGAGCAATATTGGCCAAATTATATTGTTATATTGTGTGCATGTACAAATATGAAACAACAAATCCCCTCAATATGTACAACTAATGCACCAATAGAAACATAAAAAAAAATCTAGAGCAAGGGTATAGCATATATATATTTCACATAAGGGACCAAAGATATGGGGCAGGGGGAATGAAAGAACATCAAGGGATGGACAAAAGAACTAGCATGGCACTTTCTTTTGTTTTTCCAGAGAGGATTGGAAGGACATGTGTTTGATGTGAATTGTTGCAGGTTTTTCCCATCAGGCCTTGTGGTTCTGAGTGGGGGAATGGATGCTCAGCTGAAGATCTGGTCAGCTGAAGATGCTAGTTGTGTGGTGACCTTCAAAGGGCACAAAGGAGGTATGAAAAGCTTTCTCTAATGATCCCCACAGAGGAATTACAAGAGAGGAACAGGAGCTGTTCACAAATGTACAAATAATTCATCCAACTGGTCATTTGGATGTGCTGCTATTTCCCCAAGGACTGGAGATTTTTTTGATAGTCAGTCTTGTTATTGCTATCTAGAATGAACAGTCTTCCACAGATAGTTGTTTTCCACAATCAATAGGGGGAAAAAAATCCTCCCAGGAGATTTTCTGCTTGTGTGCTGAGAGAGATGAAAAGAGGAAGAATCCACATCTTATTAGTCCTTTGAGGTGACAGTAAAAGCTGGGTGGCAAATGGCTACATCATCAGATAGCAACATTAGAGCTCAATATTGAGTGTCAATATCCATGAATTTAAGTTATTCTTCATATTTTAAAGATAAAAATAGGTTAGCCTATAATATAATATCAGATAATATCAGATTACAGAGATTGTAAGACTCTTTCTTATTAAAAATTGAAATTGATTAGTTGGTATGTTGAAAAAGATATAGAATTTAGAGATGTAATCCTTAATTAGAACATTAAGAGGGTAATAAAGTCGGGTGCAGTGGCACACTCCTGTAATCCCAGCGAGCAGCTCAGGAGGCTGAGACAGGATGATCTCGAGTTCAAAGCCAGCCTCAGCAATGGCAAGGCCCTAAGCAGCTCATTATAAGTTTGGATATTTCAAAAAATGTTATAACATTCTCAGTTCCTTACTTTGAATCCCTCCCTGGGAACCATAATAACATTTTCTGTGCTGGGTATGGTGGCACGCACCTATAATCCTAGTGACTCAGGATGTTGAACCAGGGGGATTGCAAGTTCAAGGCCGGCCTCAGCAACTTAGCAGGGCCCTAAGCAACTTGGTGAGACCCTGTCTTAAAATAAAAAATAATGGGGCTGGGGTTGTGGCTCAGTGGTGGAGCGCTTGCCTGGCTTGTGTGAGGCACTGGGTTTAATCCTCAGCACCATATAAAAATAAATAATAAAATGAAGTTATTGTGTCCATCTACAACCCCCAAAAAATTTTTTAAAAAATCTCACTTCTTGAAAAAATAAATAAAAATAATAAGGGCTAGGGGTGTGGCTCATTTTTAAGTATCCCTCATTTTAAGGGTTCACTCCTTCCTATAAATAAATAAATAGGAAGAAAGGGTGGGGATGTAGCTTAGTAATAAAGCACTCCTGGGTTCACTCCCCAGTACCACTTAAAAATTAATAAATAAAAATAGCATTTTCTGTACCACTTATTTGGGAACTAATTATGTATTGTCCTCTACTTATAGTATTTGTACCTGTGTTTTTGCTTTGTGAACCTCACTACATTGTAGCTTATAGGCAGACATCAGGTTTTAAGTCTTAATATAATTTTTTTAATATATATATTTTTAGTTGTAGTTGGACACGATATTTATTTTACTTATTTACTTTATTTTTATGTGGTGCTCAGGATCAAACCCAGGGCCTTGCACATACTAGGCGAGTACTCTACCACTGAGCCACAGTGGTAAAACCCGGCCCTGAGTTTTAATATTCTCTGTGATGGTTTGTCAGATTACATGGAGATGATCTTAGAAACACACGTTAACCTTAGTGATTTACTTCTATAACTCTAAGTAAATGGGTACACAGAGATGGAATAAAAACAATATTTGGCACCTTCCTCACATTACTAAAGAACACGGTGGTGCACACTGTAATCCTAGCTACTTTTTAGGCTGCGGCAGGAAGATCATAAGTTTAAGGCCAGCCGGGGCCAGCCTAGGCAACAGTGAGACCTTGCCTCAAAAAAAAATTTTTTTTTTAAATGGGCAAGGCCCTGTGTTCAATCCCTAGTACTTCTGGGGGAAGGGGGGGAATATATATACACATACATAATTGTTCTTCCTATTGTGTATTTTAATATGGATAATCAAAGGATTAGCATGTTGTTTACTTAACTGACAATCAGAGGTAAGATTTCTGTATATATTCTGAATCTTTCAAATACAAAGGTAAACTAAAAGTAGTTCAGTGTTTCTAATATATGAGTTTAATAAGTAGCTCTAAAATGTATTTTAATCAGTTTGAAGTTAAATTGTCCAGGTTGTTTAATTAAAATTGGTTCATTTGGAGGTATATATTTATACTACTGATTTTCGTAATAAGTATTATACTGTATCATTCATAATTTATGAAACAATGAGACCAAATTAAATCTCATTTCATTTGACTAGTTATTGAATTTGTTCACCAGGGTAGTGGATGTGCTTACATTTGTAGAATAATTTTAAGAATTCAGGTTACATTGTCAGCACTTTGACCATTATTATCAAACTCTTAGAAATGGTGTATTTTTTTTTAAACAAGCACTCAGTTTTTCTTTTTTTTAATATTTATTTTTTAGTTTTAGGTGGACACAATGTCTTTATTTTACGTTTATGTGGTGCTGAGGATCAAACCCAGTGCCTCGTGCGTACTAGAGAGCACTCTACCACTGAGCCGCAACCCCAGCCCCAGAAATGATGTATGTTGACTCCAAGCAAAAACATGTATTTTCATTGTTCCCTAGAAACATTTAAAATGGCTTAATCTGGGGCTGGGGTAGTGCCTCAGTGGTGGAGTGCTTGCCTGGCATGTGTGGGGGTCCTGGGTTCGATCCTCAGCACCACATAAAAATAAATAAATAAAATAAAGGTATTGTGTCCAACTACAATAAAAAAAATAAAAATTAAAAAAGCTTAATATGATAGTAAAACTAAATCATTTTAATAGAGTGAACTTGTTAAAAATATACATATAGAAATATGAAATTTGCTCTGTGTCTATAGATATTTTAGTTGTGGTTTTGTGTAATGTTATATGTGAACTTGCTGGGATGCTTACATGTAATTCAGTGAAATCTTTTCTTGAAGGCAAATGTCTGTTTGCCTTGATTTATATTCTGAAGACTTGTATTTATTTGGTTTGATATATAAAGCCTTTTGTAACTTCCAGTAGGTCTTAGCTAGTCTGCTTCTCTTACAAAGGCATTCTTGAAATTGCTACTTTCATAGCTTCTTTCTGAAATAATTTCTCAGAGGTTCCCATTCTTTAGGGTTCCTCTTTCCTTTTATTCTTGTCATCTAAGTATGAAGAAACCCACACTAGGTGCCATTATATTGTGAGTTACATTTTATTAGAGGATGGTAATTTTCCATGCTACTTTTATAGGAAGAAAAACTTTTCTGGATGGCACGTCTTTGCTGAGTGTTACTTGAGACTTGTACACAGTTAATACTGTTCACAGCTCCTTAGCTACAACTGTAGCTTCCCTGCCTGGGGTATATACATTTCAGAATTGTTTTTTCAAAAAGCTTGTATCACTTTTGTGGAATTCAGTAACATTTTAAAATAGTGGGAACTTTACAATGAAGACAGAAGCAGATCTTTGATTGTTTATTGTGTAGGCCCAGCAATACACACCTGTAATCCCAGTGGATCTGGAAGCTGAGACAGGAAGATTGAGAGTTCAAAGCCAGCCTTGGCAACTTAGCAAGGGCCTGAGCAACTCAGAGCGACCTTATCTCTAAATAAAATACAAAATAGGGCTGGGGATATGGCTCAGTGGTTAAACACTTGCATTCAATTCCCTGTACCCCCCCCCCCCCAAAATAAAAGAGAGAGAGAGAGAGACCCCCTTCCTGGTGGTGTTTCTTAAAAGCCCTAAGATCCTTTTTCCAGCAGGATCTTTTAACATAATGATTTGCAAACTGAACTCCCCAAGATGTCCACTTAAATTTTCTTCAAAATAAAAAAAAAAGGGGGGGGGGGTGTGTTGAAGCCAAAATAAAAAACTTAAAAACCACTTCTGTAAAACTCTACTAAATATTAAGTCCAGAGCTTGGTTTTGTTGTCTGTCTCTCACTACTAATCTTTGCACCATTGGGAAGCAGGGATCTATTTTTGTTTTCTGGCACTTAAAAACGCCCAGAATGTGGAACATGAATGTTCATGTTCAATATATGTTCATAAAAGGATGAAGTCATTTATGCAGCCCCATCTTCTCTCCCTTTATAGTTGCTTTACCCCCTTCTCCATCTTAGCTACTTTTTTTCTCTTGCCAGGTATCCTTGATACAGCCATCGTTGATCGAGGGAGGAATGTGGTGTCTGGTTCTCGAGATGGAACAGCACGACTTTGGGATTGTGGACGCTCAGCCTGCTTGGGAGTCATTGCAGACTGTGGTTCATCCATTAACGGAGTAGCAGTGGGTGCTGCTGACAACTCCATAAACCTTGGCTCCCCAGAGCAGACACCTAGTGAGTCAATAATGATACATGAGTTTGTTTTGTTTTCTTAAGCCCCCAGCAATGTTTGCATTAGTGTCTTTTTTTTTCCCCTCATCCCTTTCTGTTCTGTAGCTGTATTACTATTTTCACTATAAGATTAATATTTATCTGTGTTTCTAGTATAATTCTGTTGCTTTGGAATCTACAAAGAAAGTATATGCTATAATCATTGTATTTGAGTAAGTACAATGTTAATTAGTAGATAAAATTAATCTATAAAATAATGTTTTGACTAAAATAGTTATTCTTTTTTTAAAATATTTTTTTAGTTGTATATGGACATAGTACCTTTATTTTACTTGTTCATTTTTATGTGGTGCTGAGGATTGAACCCAGTGACTCACAGATGCAAGGCAAGTGCTCTACCACTGAGCCACAACCCCAGCCCCCCAAGTTAGTCATTCTTAATGCAAATATAATAAGTTCAGAGGAAAACTATACATAAACAGTTATTTATTAAACAAATAATTGAATATTCCAGACACTAGATTATAATGGAGAGCAAAGAAATAGATAATATATATATAAGAAACAAAAAAAATAAGTGCATGATTGGGCAAAGGGTGTAGCTCAGTGGTAGAGTACTTGGCTAGCATGCACAAAGCCATGCTTAGTTAGCATGCACAAGGCCCTGCATTCAATCCCCAGCAGTATGCCAAACAAACAAAACCTTCACAGATGAATTCCAGATGAATAGATTAGAATGGGTAAGGGTAGGAGAACAGGAGCTGTGGCTATGGGTAGATGTAGAGGCAGTTGGCATTATGGCATGGAGGTGAGATTGATTGTTATATAAAAAGATACACTTGGACTAGAAGCTTGAATTCAGAGTAAGGTTGAATAACTGTTAAGACAGAATAGTATAGTCCCAGGAAGGCAACTTTCATTTTTATTTTCCCATGATAATACTAATAATTGCTCCTCTGTTCCATAGGACCACTTTTCCTGTCATCATCTTAGCATCTCACATTTTAAAAAGACATTTTTAGAGTAGTTTTAGATTCACAACACAATTTAACAGATAGTATAGAGTTGTCATATACCCTCTGCCCCACCTCCTTACCCCCAGATTGCCTTCCTTGCTGTCAATATCCTACACAAAAGTAGTACATTTGTTTCAGTGGATAAAACTACATTGGCACATCATTATCACCTAAGATCTATCTATAATTTACATTAGGGTTCACTCCTGGTGTACTTTCTGTGGGTTTTGACAAATGTATGATCACATGTATCTGTTTTAGTTAGCTTTTACATTGCTGTGACCAGAATACCTGAGAAGAACAACTTAGAGGGGGAAAAGTTTATTTGAAGCTCACAGTTTCAGAGGTTACAATCCATAGATGGATGACTCCATTGTTCTGGACCAAAGGTTGGGCAGCACAACAAAGGGGAAGGGCCAGAAGGAAGACACGCCCTTCCAGGGCATAACCTCAGTGACCCAACCTCCTCCACCCACACCCCACTTATCTTCACTTACCACCCAGTCAGGCCATTTAAACTAGGATGGACTGATTCTATTAAAGTTCTAATAATTTAATCATTTTACCTCTGAATATTCCTGCAGAAATACAAGAGCTTTGGGGGGCCATTTCATATCCACTCCGTAATACTATCATTATAGTATCATACAGAATAGTTTTAGTGTCCTAAAAATCCTCCATGGTCCATCTATTCATCATTTCCTCCCCTGACTCCTTATACCCACAGATCTTTTTACTGTTTGTGTAATTTTGCCTTTTTCAGAATGTCATAGTTGGAATCATTTAGATTTAGCCTTTTCAGATTGATTTCTTCTACTTAATAATATACACTTAAAATTCCTCTATGTCTTTTCATGGCTTGATAGCTTATTTATCTCCCTCTTTTTTTGGTACTCGGGATCAAACTCAGGGATACTTTACTATGAGCTACATCCCCAGACATTCTCTTATTTTTTATTTTGAGTCAGGGTCTCTCTTAAGCTGCCAAGACTGGGCTCAGACTTGTAATCCTCCTGCCTCCTCCTGAGTAGCTGGGATTAAAGGCATGTGCCACTGTGCCTGGCTCCATTCATTTCTCTATAGTATTCAATGATATTCTGTTGTCTGGATATAATACAGTTTATCCACTCACCTACCAAAGGACATCTTGGTTGCTTCCAAGTGTTGGCAATTATGATTAAAGTTGATAAAAGCATCCATATATAGGTTTTCAATTCATTTGGATTAATTTTGCCCCTTGCTTTTAGACACACTGTAGGTGCTCCCCCACCTCTCTAAAACATCCCATATAGATGCACCATGGTAAAACTATTACTGACCATTAGGTGTTCCCTGACCCCTCTTTGGAGATTAATGGATTAATAGGGAGTATTTATTTCCTATGCACATTACATGTACAATTAATGGTTAATGAAATAATTTTCCACAGTATTTTTAATTTGTTAAATATTAATATAATACACATACTTGAAACCTAGGAATTTTTTGGGGGGTGGGGTACCAGAGATTGAACTCAGGGGCATTTGACCCCTGAACTACATCCCCAACCCTATTTTATATTTTATTTAGAGACAGGGTCTCACTGAGTTGCTTAGCACCTAGCTTTTGCTGAGGCTGGCTTTGAACTCACTATCATCTTGCCTCAGCCTCCTGAGGTGCTGGGATTACAGGAGTGCTGGGATTACCATGTGCCATCAAGCCTGGCCTCAAACCTAGGATTTCATAGACATATGATTATTTAAAATACAGGGTTGTTTTCAAAGATTAGTTGATGATTAAAGTAATTTAAATGAATATATTCTTGTTTTCTCTCCTTCTTCATTACTTATTTACTCTTGAGTCCGTTCTAGGATGGTTTATGCCCCAACTACTTGACTGAAATGACTCTTGTCAAGGTCTTCAGTGACCTCCATATTGCCTAATCCAGTCTGACTTCTCTGTGCTTGTCTTTCTGAATTCAACAGTATTAAATATAGTTAAACCTCTTCTAAGCACTTCTTTCTTTGCTTTATGATACCACTCTTAAGTTTTCTTTCCTATCTCATTGACTGTTTCTTCTTAATCTCCTTTTTAGTCTCCTCTCTTCTACTTTTAAACATCATCAGGCCTCACTCTTAAGTACTAGGTGCTCAGCTCTGAGTACAATATCACCCTAGGCAAGCTCATCAATTCCATAACTTTCAGACCCCTGCAGTCCTCCCCTGCCTCATGTCACACCAGCCTTTGTGAAGCCTAATGTGTTCTCACCACCCACCTTCTCCAGCATAGTGAACTACCTCAGCTTCCTAGCCTTAGCTGCCTTCTCCCTTAACCTGGAATATACTTCCCAAAGCTCTTTATATGACTGGTTTCTGGCTACCATACAGGTCCAATTAAAAGTGACCTCCACAGAACCTTTGTAAAGTTGAACTTTAAACTTAAAGTTACCTTCCCCTGCCCAACCTCCCATCATCTAGTTATGTTTGGTAACATTTTCCTGTTTTGGTTCCTTTGTAGAATTTACCATTCTGAAAGTATCTTATTTTATTTTATTTTTTTTAGTTGTTGATGGGCCTTTATTTTATTTCTTTATTTATATGTGGTGCTGAGAATCAAACCCAGTGCCTCACACTTGCAAGGCACGTGCTCTACCACTGAGCCACAATCTCAGCCCCAAATATCTTATTTTTTTTCCTCGTATGGGTTCATTCCATTGGAATCCTCAAAAGGAAGGACCTTGTTTTTCTGTTCATCACCACTGTAGACCCTCAATGAATATTTGTTGAGTGAATGGATATATTTCATTTCCTTCAGACTAAAATCTTAGAAGGCAGAAGACTATTTTGTCCTACATTATATCCCTACTCTTGGTGTGGTGTTTTAGTACATTACAAACAACTTAAGCTTTTTAAAGTTGGGTTTGTCCAGGTATCTTTTATATATAGTAAAAACTACTCTTTAATACACAGCTTTTTAATTTAAGTTTTATAATTTTTTTCTTTTTTGGTACTAGGGATTGAACCCAAGGGTTTAACACTGAGCCACATCCCCAGCCCTTTTTATTTTTTATTTTGAGACAAGGTCTTGCTAAGTTGCTTACTTAGGGCCTTGCTGAAGCTGGCTTTGAATTTGCGATCCTCCTGCCTCAGCTTCCTGAGCCGCTAGGATTATATGCATGCACTACCATGCCTGGCTAGTTTTATAAATTTTGACAGGGGATGTACCATTGTATAAAAAATACAACAGTGAGAAATAGAACATGACTTTTTAAAGAATTAATGAATCCCTGACAAATGGAACATGACTTTTTAAAGAATTAATGAATTCTGCTGGTAACTGGCCATTGTGTCTGTTGTGTGGGCACTGCCAGCTCATCTGCCTGGTTGTCATTAACATGGCTCCTCTTTCATGCAGGTGAACGAGAGGTTGGAACAGAGGCAAAAATGCTACTATTGGCCCGGGAAGATAAGAAGCTGCAGTGCTTGGGATTACAGAGCAGGCAGCCGGCAAGTTGTTCCCATGTTTTCCTATAAGACCTCTGAACTCTGAGTTCACTCTGACTCTTGGCAAGCTATTTTAGAGATATTTTCTATTCATTCCTTATGGTCACATTTTGAGGAGACTGCATGTGTGAGCGATTAAGAGCATGGGACTTGGAATAGGGCCAACATTTAAATCCTAGATATTCCATTTAATGGCATATGACACTAGACAGTTTCTGTAACTTCTGAGCCTGTTTCCTTATCACTAAACTGGGCATAATAGGATTTACCTCATAGGGTTATGTGATCAGGATGAAATGCTTTATGCTTTGTGACCTTGTTATAGTTACTTTTCCTCTCTGAGCCTTACCATGTTGTATGTAAAATGATAAGGTTGGATAGATCCTCTTTATGGGTCCTTCTGTTTTTAAGATAACATAAAGAAATTCTTATTAAAGGGCTCATACATTCAGGATTCTTGATCAACTAATGACAAGAAAATATTTGAAAGAATTAGGTGATTTTTCTTCTTTCATCCTGTGAGGTTTTGTTGGGCAAATTGTACTCTTCGCTAAACTCAGTCTTCCCTAAGATTAGATAGATTTTTAAAATTTCCTTCTAGTTCCTGTCATCATTCAGAACAATTTGACTGATTTGATTTGGCCAAAACCTTTGTATTTTCATTCCTGTTGTTACTCCATTCTGCTAGTGATGTTTTCATTTTCAAAGTTTGTCCCAAGAGCATTACCATTTTTGTTACCTTTTATTTCTAAAGGAACATCAGTGTTTTTTTGTTTATTTTTGAGGGGGAAGTGATCAGTTTGAGCTAACTGTATGGGATAAGTAAAAAATATAATTTTTTTTAGATGCATGAGAAGAACTGTGATTCATTAAGTTGTCACTTTATTTAAGTTTCTTTCTTCTTCTTTTTTTTTTTTTGGTGCTGGGGATTGAACCCCAGGAGTTTGCACATGCTAGGCAAGCACTCTTAAGAAAGGGTCTCAATAAGTTACTCAGGCTGGCCTTGAACCTGGGACTCTCCTGCCTCAGCCTCCTGAACAGCTAATTAAGTTTGTTTCTTTTTCTACAAAGTACCCCTTCAAAAGGTTGCTGGAAGTGATAGGAAGCAAAATTTAAATGTGGGAATTACAAATGTTTCTCAAATAGAGAGTTGTAATGGAAAGGGGTGGAAATTTTTGTAGTGAAAGAAAGAGTGTTGGTTAACAGTTTGAGAACTGTTATTTCAAAGTATGGTGTTATATATACTACTCAAGTCCTCAGCCAACCTCAGTTTCTGAAACCCTGGGACAGCTTCCTTCTTCAGCAATGGTGAATGCTTTGTTTCCCATTCAAGTCTACTTAAAGAGGGAAGAAAGAAGATATCTCTAAAAAATAAGAATTTTCCCCCCTTTTTGGTGTCTGTTTATTCCTAGAAACAAATTAATCTTCAAACAACATTTGTGTCTCCTGTATATTTCCAGGTGTTCCTCTTTATTGGCTCAGATGCCTTCAACTGCTGTACTTTTCTCTCTGGCTTCTTGCTATTGGCTGGGACACAAGATGGAAACATTTATCAGCTAGACGTGAGAAGTCCAACGTGAGTCATCCTTCCCTTTATGATGTAGATCTTCTACAGAGTGGAATTTTTTATTGGCTTTAACATTGGTTTATCCTAACATATAATAACTGTTGAATTAAGAGTATAGTTTTCCAGCTGGGCTTGGTGGCACATGCCTGTAATTCCAGCAGCTCTGGAGGCTGAGGCAGGAGGATCATGAGTTCAGAGCCATCCTCAGCAAAGCTGCTAAGCAACTCAGTGAGACCATGTCTCTAAATAAAATATAAACTAGGGCTGGGGATGCAGCTCAGTGGTTGAGTGCCCCTGAGTTCAATCCCCAGTACCAAAGAAAAAAAAAGTTTGTTTTTCCATCATTAAAGTTCTTCTGGTGTGAATTATCTGATTGTTTTTATTATTCCTGGAATAATAGTAAAAGATTAATTTGATTCCTACTGTCATGATTATCCAACTATAATATTTGCTTTGAAAACTAAGCTTAAATAAGAACTAACATTTCATTTAAAATGATTTTCTATGGAGGAACTTTGGTAGGTCAAAGGGGAAGGAGGAAGGGAAAGGGAGGAGGCATGGGGGTAAGAAAGATGGTGGAATGAGATGGACATCATTACCCTACATGTATGAAGACATGAATGGTGTGACTCTACTTTGTGTACAACCAGAGAAACGAAAAACTGTGCTCCATATGTGTACTATGAATTGAAATGCATTCTGCTGTCATGTATAAAAAAATTAGAAGAAATAAACTAATTAATTAAAAAAATGATTTTCTAGAACTTTTTTTTGGTACCAGGGATTGAACTCAGGGGCACTGAGCCACATCCCTATCCCTTTTTTATATTTTATTTAAAGACAAGGTCTCACTGAATTGCTTAGGGCCTTGCTAAGTTGCTGAGGCTGGCTTTGAATTTACAATCCTCCTGCCTCAGCCTCCAGAGCCACTGCGATTATAGGCGTGTGCTACTGCCTTAGAACCTTTAACTTTAAGGAACTCAATAATTTTCTCTAAGCAGTTAGACCCGGACTGGCCTAAGATTGAATGCTAATTTTTAATTCAAGTAAAGCTGGTTCTGTGTTTTGTTTAGTTTTATCATGATCTAAGACCAGCCTTATCCTGGGCTTACAGATATCTAAAGAGAATCATGTAAGCTCTCTGTTGCAGGACCTAACAATCTCTATTATTCTGGCCCTTCTTTCTTTTATTTCCTTCTTTTGTTTAACTAATATTTATTGAATGGCTTCTGTAGCCACCATTTTTATCTTTCATTTCAGTGTCCTGACAATTTTAATATTTTACAAATAGTTCTAATTCTATCTTTAAATAAAAAGATTAACACATTGTTAACATTGTTATTTTCAATCCATGTCAGTTCTCTCCTAAAAACTTGACATGTTGCCCAGCATGATGGCTCACACCTATAATCTCAGCAATTTGGAAGTTAGAGGCAGAAGGATTGCAAGTTGGAGGCCAGCCTCAGCAACTTAGCAAGGCCCTAAGCAACTTAGCAAGGACCTATCTCAAAAAAGAAAACAAAACAAAAAGCTGGGGATGTAGCTCAGTGGTAGAGCATCCGTGAGTTCAGTCACTAGTACCAATAAAAATAAAACCTGAGATGTTGTTGGTGACTTATTTCATGTTTAGAGACACATTTAGATTTACTTCAAGGTGAATTTGAGTTACTTCAATCTTCCAGTTAAGGATCTTGCCAGGAAAGAGATCATTTATCCTGTTTCCTTTTATGTGGTTAGTACTATATGTTGAATATAGTCAAGCAGTGCTTTCAAAGAAAAAGAGTGAAAGTAAAATTTCCCCTTTTACTTTAAATTCTAGGGTTCCGATACAAGTCATCCACAGATCAGGAGCACCAGTTCTATCCCTACTGAGTTTCAGAGATGGATTCATTGCTAGCCAAGGTAGGTCCAGTAGCCAATTAAGAGAGCTTGTTTCATCTTGTTCAGTTAATTAAACATAGTTGTAAGTGGCTCATCTATGTCCGAGATGGGGCATGGTCCTCCATGATTCTTTGGCATATTGTGCTTATGACATAGTTTTTATCACTCTGCTTTGTAATTGTCTGTATTTCCCCCTAGTCCAGGCTTCTTGCAATTGTAACAGTGCCTTATTCATCATTTTATTATCTCCATCAGTTAGTTTAATGCTCACTAAATAGTGGGAACTCAGAAAACATTGGTAGAGCAAATGTGTGGTCCTAAGTTGCAAAACACTGAGGATTCAGTCATCAGTCAATTATGTTCTCTTCCCTAAAGGAACTCACAGTTAGTGTGGCAGACACGTGAATCTGTGATTGTGAACTCAATAGTAGATGTCATTTTTCCTTGCTGAATGGGGTAATAATGGTGAGAAGATGATGAGATCATGGTTAGTTTCCCACTATAGCTTAAAGTGAGATTTTTGAGACAAAAGGAATGTGGACTTCAAACCAGGGTCATATTATGGCACATGAGCAGCTTATCTTGTCTCAGAGGCATCTCTGAAGCAAGAGCTTAATATCCCTGACAACCTGCAGATTGGCCACCCAGGAGGGCCTTGATAATTCTTCCCTCCCTGCCTTACCCTTAGGCCATTTTTTTCATTGAATATGAACATATATGTTGCAGGCAGTGGGTGGGTTAGAGGAGGGGTAGCAGGTGGAGAAGAGCTAACTCCTGGATTTTCTACTTTTTGTAGCTGTTTTCTGCTGGGAAGAAAGCAAAGCATGACTTCTGTCACTAACAGCTGAAGGCAAAGAGAGTAAAAGTATAACTATCTGTTTTCAGAGGATAAAACTAAAACCAATGGGAGAAAGTTATCAGACGTCACATCTCAGTTATAATAAGGAAGCACTTTATATTCCTTGAGAAGGAAGCTGCCATTGAGCACCCTGGCAGCACAGCTACTCTGCAGGGGAATTCTGTACTTGTTTAGAAGTTGGGCATATTACAATCTTTGAGCTCTTTGGAATTCTTTAGTGATTAGTGAGGAGACCTCTCTCTCTCTCTCTTTTTTTTTTTCCTGGTACTAGGAATTGAACCTGAGGGTACTCTACCACTGAGCTATATTCCCAGCCCCTTTTCTAATTTTGTTTTGAGACAGGGTCTTATTAAGTTGCTGAGGCTGATTTTGAACTTGCAATCTTCCTTCTTCAGCCGCCTGAATAGGTGTGATTATAGGCATGTACCACCACACCCAGTTCCTGTACAAAGATATTCCTTTTTTTTTTTTTTCCACCAGAGGCAACTACACGGCCTCTGCTCTGCTTTATTGACTTCAGAGCATATTTGGATACAGTTTTTTAAAAAAAGAAAAGAAACACATACACAATGGAAACTGGGGATCCAGGCTGGTGTCACCTGACCCCAGAAGAATTCCCCAAAGTAGGTTTATACAAAATGCCAGAGGAAAAAAAATGGGGTAATGTGGTGCTGAGTCCAGGGGTGGCCAGTTGGCAGAGGAATAGTCAGTGACACTGCTGGTGGGTCATGCCTCTTTCTCGTAAGTGCAAGTGCACACTACACTGCCATGGGTGAGTGTCAAGATGAGTTTCCCATCATTTGGCTCCTGCACAAGTGTAGTCTCTTGCCCATCCCACTTCTGCACGTGGACAAGTTTTCCTCTATCCAGCGTCACAGTGGACTTGACCTTCCTGTCATCTGCTGTAGTCTCATCAAACTCCACCCCCAGTTAAAAACCAATCTCCAAGTTCTTGAAGGTGTTCTGTGTTTTTAAGATGATGGTGTCCCCATTCTTTTCAATGATTGTAGTGGGCTTGGTCATGCTGAACACTTGCCTGGTAGCAAAGCCCACACCAAGTGACTTCATGTAGTCATCGAAATTCTTGCTGTCCACTAGTTTCCAGGTGCCCACGAAGGCGTCCACCATGGTGAGGCTGGGCTAGGCTGAGAAGCAAGCTGCGAGAGATGGAAGGCTTGTAGAGTCCGGGACCAAAGATATTCCTTTATGCAGCATATGCAGCATGCTTTTAACCATGTAAAATAAATTTTTATTAAGATTGGAAGAATGGTCAAAATTTTAATATTAATTATCTTTGGTAGATTATGGGTGATTTATTTCCCATGTTTTATTTATTTTTAATATTCTCTTCATTGAGCATGTACCACTTTTATATTAAATAAAGCAGCAAAGATCATCTTTTAAAGTAGTTTACATATTATCTCAAGTTTCAAGAAAATTAAGTTTAAAATTAGATGCAGTGGGGAAAAAAAAAGATTAGATGTACTTAATTTTTTCCCCTGTGGGACTGGGGATTAGACTCAGGGCTTTATACCTGGTAGGTAAACACTTTATACTGATCTCCATCCCAATTAAGATTAGATATACTTTTATTTTCCTCCCAATTTTTTTTTTGTTTTGTTTTTTTGGTACCAGTGATTGAACCTAGGGGTGCTTAACCACTGAGCCATATCCCCAGCTCTTTTTAATATTTTATTTAGAGACAGGGTCTCATTAAGTTGCGTAGGGCCTCGCTAAGTTGCTGAGGCTGACTTTGAACTTTCGATCCTCTTGCCTCAATCTCTCAGGCTGCTGGGTTTATAGGCATGCACCACTGTGCCCAGCCCAAATTTATAATTTCGGGAATAATTTGGGGATATAAAAATTTTTCTTAAAGGAAACTTTTGTATAGACAGTTCTTATTAAAAATCATTGTTGGACTGGGGATGTGGCTCAAGCGGTAGCGCACTCGCCTGGCATGCGTGCGGCCCGGGTTCGATCCTCAACACCACATACAAACAAAGTTGTTGTGTCCGCCGAAAACTGAAAAAAAATAAATATTAAGAATTAAAAAAAAAAATCATTGTTAAGGATAAGTTTGTAAATAAATGTATAAGCCTATAGTTGCTTGCTCTGTGCATTTGGCAGGTTCTAAAAATCAAATATGGTCTTTCTTCCACTGACTCTACAATTGACCTTCAAATCCTCCCCAGCCAAGCATTCTAGGCAGCCACTGTAGATCATTGTAGTTAGCCCACATAGTAAGACTTACTTGCTTTTTGCATCTTAGGACCATCTTTTTCAGGCTACTAATCTATATAAAAAAGTCAAAATATGGAGTATATTGGTTTATGGTATGCAGCATCTCTTTAGTTGTCTAAATTACCTTTCTGCCTTTTAGGTGACGGAAGCTGTTTCATTATTCAGCAAGACCTAGACTATGTCATTGAGCTCACTGAAGCTGACTGTGACCCCGTGTATAAGGTATACAGGCATAAAAGGACACCAGGTCTGGGTGATTCTCTCCTGGGATCTAGGGCTTTGAAAGGACTAAATCAGGCTATCTGTGGTCATTAGGGTGCTAAAATACTGCTTATTATGGAAGTTATTATAAAATACAACTTATTATATAAGCGGTATGGTGGGACAGAAAGAATTCCAGGTATTAAGTCAAAACCGGCTGACTTCATCACTTACTGACTGTAGAAACTTGAAAAATTACTTTACTTTCTATCTGTAAATGAGGATAGTAATGAGATAATGCATGTGAAAGGTTTTTTTTTTTTTTTTTTTTGAGTACCAAAGCCAGGGGTGCTCTACTAATGAACTACATGTACCCCAGCCCTTTTTAAATTTTATTTTGAGACAAGATCTCACTCAGTTGCTGAGGCTGGACTTGAAATTGCTATCCTCCTGCCTCAGTTTCCCAAGTAGCTGGGATTAGAGGTGTGTACACCACACCTAACTATAAATATATTCTTTAAGTTTTAGCAATAATTTTATTTAAAGGTAAAGACTGATTATCTCATTTGATTAGAGTGGAAAGAGAAAAATGAAAGATGAAGTCATATTTATTGACCAGACATTATATTTGATGTTTTTGTAAATATTATCTCATCTAATCTTTATTACTTTTCCTTGAGATATGTGTGTTATTATTCCGATTTTTTCTTGTTTTCAAAAAGTTGTACAATTAATACATACCTATAAAAAGTTATAACAGGCTGAAAAGTTGGCTCTAAAACTTATATAATTCCAGTCTTTGTAGCAATAACTAGCATTTATAGTTTTGCATATATCTTTTAAGACTATTAGAGAATTTATATATTTGTATCCGTGTATTAATGCCCTTATATAAATATAGTTTTAATCTTTAGTTTGCATATATAACTGGGATTATTCCATAGATGTTTCCCTATGATTTATTTATTTTTTACTTAACATCTTGGAGCTTTTCCCAGGTAAATGCATATAGGTCCATTTTACTTTTTAAAATTCCTAAAAGTGATCTATATTGTGAACTGGCATATCATTTCCATTTTACAAAAGAGTAAACTGGGGCCAAGGATTTCTCAAAATGATTGAGAAAATTGCCCTAAGTCGTGCAGTTATATGGTAGCAGGCCCTAGATTAAGTTAATTTCAGAATGCATGCTATTTCCCTGAGGTTAGTATTTCTTTCCTTTCTTTGAGAAGTTAATGAACTCCTCCTCAGAAAAAAGGCACATATTTGGAACTTTTTCACATACAATTTTATGAGGTTCAAGGATACCCAAGCCAATCTGTGGACCATCTGTCCCCAGATGCAGACCCTCTGCATGAAATCTTACACAACACTAAGAGGTTTGCATTTCACTTAGACCTATTAGTGTCTCTGTTCTGTAGTCTTAGCGTTCCCTGACCTTGGACAAAGATTTTGTAAATTTGTATTATGGATGTAATCTTCTTTTGCCTTCAGAGTTACTAAAGTTTCTCAGACTCCTTTGGATTAATATGGGCTAATAGCAAACTTCCACCATTTTGAAATGAAAAAATTCTAGGCTTCCCTTGAGCTGTGAATTCTTGTGTTCCAGGTAGCCACGTGGGAGAAGCAGATCTATACATGCTGTCGAGATGGTCTTGTGCGGCGCTATCAGCTTTCTGACCTCTGACCCCTTTCCCAGTTAGTGAAAAGGGTTGACCCTGATCAACAAAGAACAGAAACATTACCCATATTTCCCAAGGTCTGTGGCTCCTTAATGTCTTGGGCACCGCTTGGAAGTCACAGCAAGTTAACTGTACTGGCCCATGTGGAACAATCATCCCAAGACCTACCTTGAACTGAGTGAGAAGCTCACTTGTGCTCACTGCCTTTGCCCCAGCTTTTCTTTGCGTAAATTTAGCCCACAACACAGGGCAAAGATCTGGATGCTTATATTTTATTCTCTCACCGGTTGTGTTAATTGTTTACAAGGCACAGAGAACTAAAGCCTGTTTGCTGGAAGAAATAAAGAAAATATGTTTGGAAGAGTCTTGAGTTTGGAAAACTTTGTTAAATTCTCTTACTCGATCCAAAAGGGAAGATGATAGAACTCCTTCCTCGGCAGTCCCTGTTGACCTGGCCCTAGAGAAGGATATTTGGCATTAGCAGTAAATATCCTGAGAGAAATTCTTAGGCAGGGTATCAGCTCTCCCTGTTTTCCCAGAACTGACGGGTTTGGGCAGCATGGGAATTTTGGTGCTCAAACTGGCACAGTCCCAGGCAAACTATCAAGGTTGGTCAGCCTCTGTATAGGTAAGGGAGTTGAATCTTGATCATGGTGAAGGCAGTCGTTGTCAATCTGTGGTCTCTGAAATAGTGGCATCAATATCACCTAGGACCTTACTAGAAAGAGAAAAGTTTGGGTCCCACCCCAGACCTGAGTCAGAAATTCTGTGAGTTTAGCCAGCAGTCTATATTGTAACAGACCTCCTAGGTGATTCTGCTGCAAGCTGAAGTCTGAACCATCGACCTAGAGGAAGACATCCTGAGGGCACTTTAGTTATAGCAGGAACCAGGGCTCATAGGATGGGAGATGTGACCAGAAAGGCTGACAGGACCAAATAGTGAAGAAGCTTGATTGAATGTCAGGTCAGGAGCTTGGACTTGGTCAGCAATGACAAACTATTGAAGAGTTTTTAGAGAATGGCATGGTCTCCTCTTTTCCTAAACATAAAACACTTATTTTCCCCAAACATAAAAATCGAATTGTAATGTGTGTGCCATGGTTTATTTTCACTTAGTATTTCCAAGATCTTTCCATCTCAGCACATTTAGACCTTCCTCATTGTTTTTAGCAATGTTGAGCATAAAGATACCCTATTATTTACAGTTTAGAGATGATTTTAGAAAGGATTCTTGGAGGATACAACACTTGAGCTGGGCTATGCAGGCTAAGATTTTGGTTTATTTAAGGGAAGAATGTTATTTCTGGCTAGGGTAATAACATGGTTAACAGAGTTCTTAAATATATATTTTCATCTGGGTGTGGTGGTGTGCCCCGGTGATCCGAGCAACTTGAGAGGCAGAGATAGGAGGATCACAAGTTTAAAGTCAGCCTCAGTGACTGAGCAAGGCCCTAAGCAATTTAGTGAGACCCTGTCTCAAAATAAAAAAAGGGCTGGAGATGTAACTCAGTGGTAATGCACCCCTGGGTTAAATCCTGGTACCCACCCCCCCACCCCCCCGCAAGAAAAATACATTCTTAAAACTGTGACTTTCAGAGATTGAACACTGAGACTCAGAGAGATGAAGTAATTTGCCAAGTATCTGATTTGCCAAGTGTCTGAGAGCAGGAACTTTATCTTTTTTTTTTCTTCTGTTATCAGGAATTGAATCCAGGAGTGCTTAATCACTGAGCAACATCCCCCACCCTTTTAATTTTTTAATTTTGAGACAGGGTTTCACTAAGTTGTTCAAGCTGGGCTCTGATTTGTGATCCTCCTGCCTCAGCCTCTCAAGTTGCTAGGACTAGAGGTGTGCACTACCTTGCCAGGCTAACTTTTTCACTTATATTTTAACTTTAAATTGAATTTTTTCTACAACACTTTTGATTATACCTAAACCAGAGTGTCAAAATACTGCATTTTGTTGAATATCTAACAAGTACCAGCTCTGTTCTAAATATTATATTTATATATCTAAACATCCTTATAATAATTTTTTTTTCTTGGTAGTACTGGGGATTGTACCCAAGAGGGTTCTGCATCTGAGTTACATCCTACTCTTTCTTAAATTTTATTTTGAGACAGGGTCTCACTAAGTTTCCCAGGCTGGTTTCAAACTTAAAATCCTTCTATTTGAACTTATGAGTAGCTGGGATGGCAGGTGTGCACCTGAGTCTCGCTGTCCTTACAACACTCGTAAAAATCCAACGGGATTCCTGTTTTAATCAGATATGGAAACTGAGACTCAAGAAATTAAATACCACAGCTTTGATTTGGACCTTGGTCAGTCTCCAAAATCTGTGTTTATATCCTTTCTATAATCATCTCTAAACTGTTTATGTAGTCACGAGCATCATGTAGTCTTGTGCAGGTGCCAAGAGAGATGACTGAAGTAATTTTTCTTTTTCTGTGTGAGTTTTCTATCACTTTAGCTCCCACACAAGTGTAGTCCCTTCTTGTCCCACTTATGCACATGGACAAGTTTTCCTCCATCCAGCGTCACAGTGGACTTGACCTTCCTGTCATCGGCTTTAGTCTCATCAAACTCCACCCCTAGCTGAAAGCTGATCTCCGTGTTCTTAAAAGTGCTCTGTGTTTTTTGATGTTGGTATCTCCATTCTTTTTGATGATTGTGGTAGGCTTGGTCATGCTGGCTACTTGCCTGGTAGCAAGTGACTTTGTGTAGTCATCAAAATTCTTTCTGTGCACTAGTTTCCAGGTGCTCACAAAAGCATCTACCATGGTGAGGCTGGGCTAGGCTGAGAAGGAAGTTTCAAGAGATGGAAGGCGTGCAGAGGCTCTGGAACCAGTCAGCAAGCTCATTTTAAGGAGTGATTTTTTTATAGAACCAGGTAGACCAGAGGGGACAGATTCCAGAGTTTTGTGAATCCTAGGAGGCCAAGGGGGAACTTTCAGAAGTTCAAGAAAACAGGGTGACCTGAGCACCATGGCACATGCCTATAATCCTAGTGATTCAGGAGGCTGAGGCTGGAGAATCTCAAGTTTGAGGCCAGCCTCAGCAACATGTGACACCCTAAGCAACTTAGGTTGTATTTCAAAATAAAAAAGGACTGGGGATGCCGCTCAGTGGTACAGTATCCCTGCGTTCAATCTCTAGTGAAAGAAACAGGATGAAGAGAGAGATGGCTGAGCACAGCAAGTGACCATCTCTGAGTTCCCACTCCAGGGTTTACTCCTCTGCATTGCTGTCACATTCATAAACCGGTTTTCATAGGTCTAAAAAATTGATGTCCTGGTTGTGAGAGATGTAGTGACCCTTGACAGCTGCTCTGAAATCCAGGCCCAAACAGAAGGATCAGAGGCCAGCTCCCAGGCGCTCCAGAGCCTTGGGCACTGTGAGTTGAAGGAGCTCCAGTTGTCAGCAAAGTATTCTTTTCCTTTAGGATTGAGGAGTACGTTCTGGATCAAGAACAATGTAGCTCCCGTCCATCTGTGGCAGCACAGGCCTGGTGAAATCCTGTGGTGGATCTTGTTTCTTAGCTTTCAGGTGCCCCCTTGTGACTTCTAGTGAGAAGTACCTCTTTTTCTCAGGCTTGAAAACCTCAGTGGTCTCTGCTACGGAGTATACCATCTGGGCCAGACACAGTCCTACGTAAAGATTTCTTTTTTGGAACAAGTCTCTTTGTTACATATATTTTATATTCTTTTATTTTACTTATTTTGAAATAATTTCAACCTTACAGAAAATTTGCAAGAACAGCACAAAGGATTTTAGTATACCCCTGCCCAGATCTCCCAGTTGTTAAACTTTTTATTTTATTATATTTGCTTTATCCTTATTTCTATGAGTGCTGTATATATTGTTTTTGATTCATTGGAGAATATATAAGTGTCATGTCCTGTTATCCTTAAATACTTCAGGATGTATTTACTAAAACAAAGGACACCCATTTATCACCACAGTGTAGCTGTAGAAGAGGGAAATCAACACTGACCCTGTACTGTCAGGGTCTCAGTACAGTCTTTCCTGGTGCCCCAGTGATGTCCTTTATGATCACCCTCTCCTCTGTTTTCTGGGATCTAATCCAGCATCACATGTCACATCTATTTGCTTCCTATCAGAAGCAGTGTCTTGGTTTTTCCTTTTCTTTCAGGCCTCTCTTGTTTTTGGAGTATAGGCCGATGTGGGGAAGAATCCCTAATTTGGGTTTGTCTTATGTTTCCTCATGATTAAATTTAGGTTATACATTTTGACAAGAACACCACAGAGGTGATTCTATGTCCTAAGCGCATCATATTGGGGGCTGAATGATGTCCACTTGTTCTGTAACTGATGATGCTTATTTTTTATTCTTTTTAATACATGACAGTAGAGTATATTTTGACATATTATACATCCAGGGGGTACAACTTACTCTAATTAGGGTCCCATTCTTGTGGTTGTACCTGATGTGGAGTTTCACTGGTGGTTGATAATGTTTATTTATACAAACAGTACAGGAGGACACCAGCCCAGGTGGACAGTAGCCCAAGGGACACCATACACCTTTACTCTGGATCCTTACTGGGGGCCTGGATCCTTTTGGAAGTCTGAAGAGGAGCTGCAGCTGCAACCTGGGACTGAGTCTTGGTTTGAGCCTTTGCTTTGACCTTTGCCTGGCAGATCCTGAGACTTTAGCAACGTGGGCACAAACACACTTCCCAAGCTTGGGTAGGAGAGTTGATGGTGCTTGCAGCTGACACCCTTGTCCCCATTGGGCTAAGGGCCCCATAGCCTCGGCACATGCTCTCATAGCCTTGGTCTTGCTTGCCTGCCTCTGCTTTCAGCCCTTCTTGTATTTCTTGGCTAAATGCATGTTCCTCGGGAACTTGGGCTCTACCCTCTTCAGAAACTCTTAACTTTGTAATTGGGTTTTTGACACCATTTCTGTACCATTTTCAGGACTGGTTGTATTTGGTTGGTTTTTGGACTTGGCCACCATAACCCACAGCTCCTGAAGTACCTGGGAGGGTATCCCATATGCTTTAGCAGCCACTCCCTATCCTCCAGCCCTGACAACCATTAACCAATTTTTTGTTTCTGTGGATTTGCCTATTCTGGATATTTTGTGAAAATGGAATCATGTAATGTGTGAACTCTCAAGTCTGGCTTCTTTCTCTTGGCAAAGTTCATCCATATTTTAGTACATATCAGTACTTTGCTTTTTTTGCCAAATAATATTTCATTTGTTATGGTTAATTTTATGAGTAAACAGAGATGCTATTTTACACCTACTATAATGAGAAGCATTTAAAAACTTGACATCAAGAGTTGGTGAGGAGGGGCTGGGGTTGTGGCTCAGCGGTAAGCATTCGCCTAGTACTTGCGAGGCCCTGGGTTCGATCCTCAGCACCACATAAAAAAAAATCAATAAATAAAATAAAGGTATAAAAAATTAAGAATCCTTTAAAAAAAGAGTTGGGGGGAGGTGGAAAAGAAGGAATTCTCATACACTGCAATTGTCAGTGTAAATTAGAATAACCACATCAGACTTGGGCCCATGCCTATAATCCGAGCTACTGGGAGATTATGGCTGGAGCATTGCAAATGTGAGGTCAGCCTTAGCAATTTAGCCAGGCTCTGTCTCAAAATAAAAAATAAAAATGGCTGGGGCTGTAGTTCAGTGGTAGAGCACTTGCCTACACACCTGGGTTTGATTCCTGGGCTTGATCCTTACCAAGTATCCATTTGGAAAAAAAAAAAAATGGTAGGGTTTATTCCCTACCAACAAGCAGAGGAACAAAAAGAAAAACCACATCAGAAAACTGGCATTACCTTACAAAGTTGATGCAATACCCAAATGTTCATCAACAGAGTAATATACCCTCTGTAAAAGTAGGTCATACACACAGAGATACTTTTTATTTGTATAAATCATACCACTTGTATAAAATTCAAAATATGAAAGGTAAATATGTTATTATAAATAAATGCAATGAGCCAGGTGTGGTGGCACACACCTGTAATTCCAGTGGCTCAAAAGGCTGAGGCGGGCAGATTGCAAATCTGAGACAAGCCTCAGCAACTCAGTAAGGCCCTTACTAAGCAACTTAGTGAGACCCTGTCTCAAAATAAAAAATAAAAATGGGTAGGGATTTGGATCATTGGTTAAGCATCCCTGGGTTTAATCCCTGGTACCAAAAAAGAAAAAAAAAAAAAAAATATATATATATATATATACACACACACACACACACAGTGATATGATAGAGCTGGTTTGTATCCGTTTGGAAAAAAAAATGGCAAATGCTACAAATCAGACTCTTTGGACCCCTCTGCAGAGCCAGTTGTTAAAAAGGGTAAGAGACTAATGAGACACAGGGTCAATATTCCTTCAACAAGGAATGTTCTCATACTGCTTTTTTTGTGCACATAAAATTATTTCATGAAAGTAAAAAACAGGAGTTAGCTAGTTGGAGGCCAGGTTCATGGTGGCTGGTGGGAGGGTTGTGAGCAGAGGTAACAGCATAGTGAATTTCAGAGAGAGCAGTTCAGGCGGTAAAAGTGCTGTGGTCCATTCTAACTAGCATGGTACATGTAGGGTAGGTGGAGGGGGGGAGAGTAGAAAGGGACACAGAGGGCTGGTGTGCCACAGGCGGCAGTTTCACCCTGGGCAGGAGAGACAAGGCAGGCAGATGGTGAGGGAGCCATAGTGGTCTTGCTGAAAGATGCAGCCAGAACACGGCCACGGCTGTGAGAAGTAAGGGCAGAGCAGGGGCCTGAGAGATGCCCAGGAGGCAGGATGGACTGGGCTTGGCGATTGACAGGAAGGGGGTGGTGTCAAACAGGGCTCGGCTGCCATCAACGAGATGAAGCTTGACACATCCTTGAAGGGTGGTGACTTCCTTCCAATGAGTGCAAAGTGAAACCGGGGAAGACTAACTACAGCGAGAGAACCAACAGACACTGTGCCAGCAGGTGAGGGAGGTTCACGCCATCTGTGATGTCTTGTTGACGGTACATACTTTTGATATGCCGGGCTAAAATGGCACTTCACTCTGTCATGTCCCCGTAAGCCAAGTCTACACATGAGAAAAGCATCAAAGAAATCCCAGTTGAAGATCATATATCTGACCTGTTGAGGTCATCAAAAACATGAAGAATCTAAGAAACTATCACATGAAGGGGAGGCATGACAACTGATGCGGTCTGGAAGTGGATTATCCCCCTGTTATCAGGTTTGTTCCCAGTGTGGTGCCATTAGGGATGTGGAGTCTAGTGGGAGTTGACTGGATCATTGGGGGCACTGCTTTTGGAAGGGATTCTTGTGGGACCCTGGTTGATTGCTGTGTGAGTGAGTTGTTATAAAATGGTTAGTCCTTCCTACTCTCTGACTTCTTGTCTCATTGTGAGGTCTCTCTCTCACACATGTGCTCCCACAATGATGCCTACCATCTGTCAAGATGGGACAATCATGGGTTCCTTGCCTGAACTGGCATCATGCTGTTTGGTTCTTTCAACCTCCAAGATTGTGAACTAAATAAACTTCTTTTCTTTATAAATAATCCAGTCTCAGGTATTTTGTTACAGCAACAGAAAATGGACTAATACAGCAACTAAATGTAATATGGTGTCATGGACAGAATCTTGAAAGATATTAGGTTAAGAACTAGGAAACCGGTCTGGGGTTGTGGCTCAGTGGTGGAGTGCTTGCCTAGCATGCGTGAGGCCCTGAGTTCGATCCCTGGCACCACATAAAAATAAAACAAATAAAATCAAGGTATTAAAAAAATAACTAGGAAACCTGGATAAAATATGAACTTTAGTTAATAATAATATCTCAATATTGTTCATGGGGCTGGGGATGTAGCTCAAGTGGTAGCGTGCTCGCCTAGCGTGCGTGAGGTACTGGATTCAGTTCTCAGCACCACATAAATGTGAAATAAAGATACTGTGTCCACCTAAAAATTAAAGAAGTAAATATTTTAAAAAAATAATATATCAATATTGTTCATTATTTGTGACAAATGAACCACACTAATGTAAGATGTTATTAAAGGGGGCTGGGAGAGTAGCTCAATGGTAGAGCACTTGCTTAGCACATGTGAGGCCTTGGGTTCAATCCTCAGCACCACATAGAAATAAATAAATAAATAAAGGGATTGTGTCCATCTACAACTAAAAAACATTTAACAAAATAAAGATGTTAATAAAGGAAACAATGTGAGATATGGGAACTCTCTCATCTATCTTTACAACTTTTCTGGAAATATAAAACTATTTTAAAGTAAAAAGTACATTTTTAAAAAAATCTGCCAAATGCATTTGTTCTGAAAACTTTTAGAGTGGTAGAAGTCTTGCCTTGTGTGGGCAAGGCTCTGGGTTCCATGTCCAAAAATACCCCCCCCCCCCAAAAAAAAAAAAAAACCCACTAAATAAACAAAAAAAGTAACTGCTGCTCTTTTTAAAAATAAAAATACAGTGGAGCAAAATGGGACTCTGTAACGCTCCAGTTTCTGAGTTGAATGACCAGGGTCACAGTAGCAGCCCCAGTTCTCCCAGTCCTTTCATTCCTCTTTGAGAGCCAAGCCAATTTAGTGGTTTGTTTAGGAAGGAAGGACTACAACTCCCAGAGTGCCCCTGGGCAGTTGTCAGGAGCAACCAAGGAATGCAACTAACAGCCCTGCTGGAGTTTAAGGAGTACTAGGATTCACTGCCTGCCAGCCATGGGCCAGGATTATTACTCTGTGCTCCAGATCACTCACAATGCAGAGGATGCCCAGATCAAGAAGGCGTAAGTTGAAGTGGGAACCAGGCCTGAGGGCTGTGCAGGCTGCCCCACCCTCACTCCTTCCCAGCCCAGCTTTCCTGCATAGCTTAGCAGGCAAGATGAGCCTGATTCTTCTCTTGCATATCTTTATCCTGGTTTGGAGCTGGTCCAGGGAAGGGGATGGAAATCTCCCTTTATGCTCTGTGCCACATTGTCCTCTCCTGGGTGCTTTAGCTTTCCTAGCAATGAAGTGGGGACAAAGGAACTATTTGAACTTTATCCTGAATATTATGGAGAACCAAAGGATTGTAAACAGGGGAGTGAACTGGCAGATGATGTGGATATGTTACAGATTTCATTCTGGTCATCATTTGTTTATTAATTTATTTAGTGGTACCAGGGATTGAACCACAGGCCTCCTGCTTGCTTCGTATGAATTTTTTGTCATTGACTAAACTCCATCTCTAAGTCGCAGAGAATTTTGGGTCCTTTCTTAAGAAAATTGAGGCTGGCTGGGTGTGGTGGTGCACACAGCAACTCAGGAGGCTGAGGCAGGAGGATCACAAGTTTGAGGCCAGCCTCAGAAATGGGAGGAATAGAAGTTCATTGGCTCAGACAGAGGGAAATGAAGGGAAGGAAAGGGAGATGGAAATAGGAAAGACAGTAGAATGAAACAGACATAACTTTCCTATTTCATATATGAATATACCACCAGTGTAACTCCACATCATGTTCAACCACAAGAATGGGACCCTAATTAGAGTAAGTTATACTCCATGTGTGTATAATATGTCAAAGTACACTCTATTGTCATGTATATCTAAAAAGAACAACAACAAGAACAAAATGTAGTGAGATCCTGTCTCAAAAAAAAAAAAATGCTGTGGATGTATCTCAGTGATAGAGTGCTCCTGGGTTCAATCCTCATTACTTTCCCAAAGGGGGGGGGGAATGTTAGGTTAGGAGTAAGCACATTTTTCTGAAAAAAAAAAAAATGTGTATACACCCATACACACACTCTGAAGTACTGGCAATTGAACCCAGGAGCACTCTACATCTAAGCTAGATCCCCAACCCTTTTTATTTTGAGACAGGATCACTCAGTTGCCAAGGCTGTTCTTGAACGTGTGATCCTCCTGCCTCAGCCTCCTGAATAACTGGCATTACAGGCATGTACCACCACACCCAGCTGGAAAATTTTTTTTTGTTGTTGGATCTTTAAAATTTTTTTTCTTGTTTTCTTTGAACAAAAATTTAACAAGTATTTGCTGAGCACTGACCAGATAGGTTAGGTGCAGTGGTAGCAGTGTGGAGATCTAACTGTAACCAGACAGACATGTCCCCTTCCCTCAGGCAGCCTGACTTTGCTGGTGAATACAGATATTGATTACAGCACGACTATGATGACTGTTAGAAAAGGGAAAGAGCACGGTGCAGAGGAGCCTCTACTGGAAGGAGAGAGACCTTAGGAGGCTGTCATGGTCATGTACACAGAAGTCAAGGCTTGAAGAAGGACAAAACCTCTTCAGTGGGCTTCAGGGAAAGGAGGGATTGAAACTGGCAGTTCACTGGGTCACTGAAAGGCAAAGAGGAGGAACAGTCGAAGACACTTATTTTATTGAATGTGTAGGTGCAATCGGGAGAACCTTCATCAATATTTCATTGACTCCTCACAATGACCCTGAGAGGCAAGTGCCATTATTATCCCAAGGCAGAGCTAGCAGTCAGAAACCATCCCTTCTAGAGGTGCCATCTGTGGGCTCATCTCCGGGCCAGGTCCTGTAGGGGACCCAAGGAGGGTGAGTGGAGTCCATAGCATGGTTGGAGAACAAGACAAACTCATGAGACAATTTGAGAACAATTCAGTCAGCACTGGCTAGGTCATGTCATTGTCCAAAGGGACCCATTCAGGAGAAGGTTACCAAGAGGCAGAGCAGTTGGAGGGCAGAAGGATAAGCAAGCCTAGTTTGAATCCAGGTTCTCCTGCCTGCTGCTGTGGGAATGGGCAAATCATTTAACCTCTCTGAATCTGATTCTCATTTCTGAAAAAAAAAGGGAGGGGATTGTTGTGGCACTGAAATAGGATTAGATGAGGGCTGGGGTTGTGGCTCAGCAGTAGAGCACTTGCCTAGCATGTGAGAGGCCTAGGTTCAATCCTCAGCACCTCAGGGGGAGGGGAGGGGGAGGGGAGGGGGGAGGGGAGGTGGTTCTGGGATGGTGGCTCACAGGTGGAGCGCTCCTGAGTTCCATCTCTAGTACCGAAAAGGAGGCAGACAGGAAGGAAGGGAAGGAGGGAGGAAGGGAAGGAGGGAGGAAGGGAAGGAGGGAGGAAGGGAAGGAGGGAGGGAGGGAAGGAGGGAGGGAGGGAAGGAGGGAGGGAGGGAGGGAGAGAAGGAAGCACCCAGGACACAGAATCACCCCAGCTAAGGACCCGCTCAGTGTCACTCTAGCCACGACTTCACTTTCTCGCCCTCTCAGGAAGGCAGGTGAAAGCAGGTGAACGAGAGTGACGTTACTAGAGAGAGAGAGAGAAGGGATTGAACCTTTAAGGGAGACCTTTGGATCATATGCTGAAAATAAGACGACCTGGGGAGGTTTCCCGGGAGGGTGCTGTGGTCACAGTGTTTTAGGAGCCTGAGGAGGAGACAGACAGACAGAAGGAGGGCGGGGGAGCGGTCTTATAGTTGGCGGCACCCAGCTGGACTGCGTTGGGGAGGGGACTCCTGGGGAGAGACGCGGTCCTCTACAGGATGAAGGGGCAGGCAGGGGACATTTAGAAGGGAAAACTGGTAGGACTTGGTGACGGACGGGATGGGGAGGAGGGAGCAAAGGAGAAGTTGGGGTCAAAGATGATGCCCAGGTTTCTGGCTGCTGTGCCTGGAAGAAGGAGTGAGCCCTGAAAGGTGCTCCCTGGGCCAGCGGCGTGCGAGGCGCTGGGCACCGGCGGAGCGGCCAGCGGGCGGCTGCCCGGGGCAGGCGGGGCCCGGAGGGCGGCTCGGGAGGTCCGCAGCCCTGCGGGAGCGAGGGAGAAACTAAAGAGGAAGCGCAGAACCCTGGGCACGCCCACAGGAAGGCGAGGTGGCACTGCGACCCCGTCTAACTGGGACCTGAGAGTCTGCAAGAATTACTTCCTTTTGTCCTGAAGTCCCCTCGCACCCTGCCAGGCATCCTGTGGCATCCTGCTCAAGGAGAACGAGTCAGGGGAGTGGACGGAGGAGGGTGGGCTGCAGTCTTCACGGGGTCTCTTCAGGCTGCCTGGTTGGTCCCCTCACTGAAGGTCTTGGCTCCTGCCACAGGCCCTGCCCACACACTTCTTCTGTCAGTGCAAATGAAGGAGACGAAAGCAGACCTCGGAGTCTATGAGATTGTCAGGCAATGGAGGGGCTCACTTTCTGGTTAGAAAATGGCCACCGTTGCAGGAGGGGTCTGGGTGTTTATAGGTTACACAGAGAGGTGACTTAATCATTGGAGACTTCAACAGAACGTGTCAGTTTGAGCAATCAGGAAAAAGGTTGTAAGCATTTGAAACTTGTTTTTACTGGGAAAGGATGGGGGGTCTCAGTGCTCATCTCTTTCCTCTGGAGGTCATTGTATTCAAAAGGATCAATGTTTATCCAGGGACTGTCATTTTGGGATTGACATGTGCTTCCTTCCCAGGGATTGTCTTGTCACTGGGAAAGGATTTACTGGGAAGGATCAATGTTTTGCCTTCTTCCTCCCTCCCTCCTCCTGGGTCACACTGTATTGGGGTTATCATTTTCCATATCCTTCACCTTCCAGATTTCTAAAGCTGCTGCCTCCTGTCACTTCTATGGGTTTAGTGAAGGTCAGGGCCCCAGGGTTCCTAGCCTCTGTGTACTCTGTCCCTCATCTTTTCTCCCCTGCCTGTACCTTGGTGAATGGCCCCTATGGTAGCTTTGCAGATCATCCAGACAATGCCATCTTTTCCCTCCTGGGAGACTGACAGTGCATGACAGGCTGCAGTTATCCTGTGACTGAGAGGTACAGAATCGAGAGCAATGAGCACAGAGCGGGAGACCTTGAGGACCTGGCAGGTGCGGAGTGCTTCTCTGTACAGGCCCTTCCCACACCTTATTTTATCCTTCTCCAAAGAAACCTGTGGGTCAGTTTCAGTCTTCTGAGAAGCAGAGACCAAGATGGGGTTAGATGTGCACAATAGGTCAGGAAACCCCAAGGAAGGAGGAGTGTGCAGGGGGAGAGCTTCACACTACAGAGCAGCCAGGAGATGGGGAAGAAGGGCTTGGGTAGGGAGAGCTGTAGCTCAAGGATCTCAGGCAGGCTTGTCCTTTGAAGGGGTGCCATGCTCACAAAAATGGGCCACCATGCTTAGGCATTGGCTGGGAGAGCTTGGGGAACAGATGCCCACAGGGCAGCTCCTGGGGCTGCCAATTGGCCACGATCCCTACATCCCTACACCAGGTTCTCTTCAATGCGCTCTGAGCAGTGCATCTTGGTGGCTGCCACAGTCTGTGAGGTCATCCCTGATTCATAGCTAGGCAGTTGACAGTGGCACCTGCTTGGGGCCATGCTTCTCCGGAATGGGTCAGCTGTTAGGACTCACACTCACTTTCTCTCCTCTAGTTACCGGAAGCTTGCCCTTAAGAACCACCCTTTGAAATCAAGTGACCCTGCAGCTAAAGAGACCTTCAAACAAATAGCAGAGGCCTATGATGTGCTGAGTGACCGTGAGTGACCATGAGGCTGCTCCAGGAGATTTCTGTCATCCCCTCCTTTAAGATCGTCCCTTAAGTCTCTATAGACTATTGAGTTTTCTGAGGGGGTCCTAGAGAATAAGTATCTGTCCTCCCTGCCCAGTATCTAAACAAACTGAGAATATAAAGAATCGCCTGTCTCAGTGGACACAAGCTAAGGTGAGAGATGGGTGTGCAGGGTCACCAGGGCAGGGCAGGAGCAGGGGCACATTCCCCACACCCCACGCCTGGAAGATGGAGCCTTCCCCCAGGAGAGGAGTGGAAGGAAATGCTGGCTGCCAAGGGGAAGAAGGCCAAGGCTGAGCAGGGTGCCACTTCCCCTTCCCAGACTGGCTGAGGAGCGAGTCTCCATCACCTCAAGGACAGCAGGAGCATGAAGGGGCAGAGAGAGAGGCCAGGAGTCTTCCTTCAGAAGTCTCTGTCTTAGGGAAGCCAGAAGCGTGGGGCAAGTGTGATTCATAGCCCCAGCACAGGGCAGTGCTCTGTGGCTTCCCTGGGAGATTGTCCTGGAGACTCTGCTTATGCAGGCTGCACAGGAGGGCTAGGAGGCCACCAGGGTTTCTCCAGGGCTGGGTTTTCAGGACGTTGATAGCCTCGAAAGCTAGCATCTGGAGGCTTTAGAATTCTCAGATTCAAAAATTTCAGGATTCTAGGATTGTAATGACTCCCAGAAAAACAGTAGCTGTGAGGACTGAGTTAGGCCGACCCCAGGTCTGTAGCCTGACCCAATCCCTACCCGACCCCCACCCCACCCCCGGAAATCTGTTTTTTTCATCTCTCTTCTGGGCTATCGGGATCCCTAGGCCCACTCAAGAATGAAAGTCACCTCCAACTTCTAGGATCTCATATCCAGAAACTCTGGGATGAGCCGCAAGCCCCTTGGAAAAGGTTGTTTTGTCCCATCTCCTTTCCCAGGTCCTCCTTCCCTCTCTCCCCTCTAAGCTCTTAGCCCCCAAGGCTGTACCCCTCCTCAAGGTCCTCCTGCCCACAGCTGTGAAGAGAGCCATCTATGACAAGTTCGGAGAAGAAGGCCTGAAGGGCGGGATTCCCCTGGAGTTTGGATCCCAGGCCCCGTGGACAACTGGCTACGTCTTCCACGGCAACCCTGCTAAGGTGTTCCATGAGTTCTTCGGGGGAGACAACCCCTTCAGTGGTAAGAGATCCTCCCTGTCTCCTTGCCTCACTGGGAAAGGACATGGCTAAAAAAGACGCTTTTCTCTAAGTAGTTTTGTTTTGCTTTTTCACCTTAAGAAATACATATAGAGTATGTTGTTTTTTTTTAAAGGGTAAAAGAATTTATTGAAAAAGAAATAAATTCCAGACCTACATTTCCTTTCCAGAAGCGGTCTTCTGGAAGTTTTCTATGCCTTGATGAGCACATTTTTTTTGTTAGCCCTTCATTTTCTTAAGGAATCAGACTACATTATACACACATTTTTAAACTTAAGATATCTTGGAGATTATACAACAATACATTGTGCTACCTGTAGATCTACTTTATTTATTTTTTTCCTCCCTTGTAGCACTGGGTATTGAACCCAAGGCAGTAAACACATTAGGCTAATGCTATATCCCCAGCCTTTTTTAAAAAAAATTTTATTTTATTTTATTTTAAATACTTATTTATTTATTAGTTGTAGCTGGACCAATACCTTTATTTATTTATTTTTATGTGGTGCCCAGGATCAAGCCCAGGGCCTCTCACGTGCCAGGCAAGTGCTCTACCACTGAGCCACAACCCCAGCCCTAAAATTTTTATTTTGAGACAGGGTTTTGCTGAGTTACCCAGGCTGGCCTGAAATTTGCAGTCCTCCTTCCTCAATCTCTTGAGTAGCTGGGATTATAGATGTGGACCACCATGCCTGGCTACTTTATTTCTTTTAATGACCACATAAGACTCCATTGTACAGATGTGTATTGGTCAGAAATCGGTTTCAGGCTTATGCACACTTGTAATCCCAGCAGCTCTGGTGGCTGAGGCAGGTGGATCGCGAGTTCAAAGTCAGCCTCAGCAACTTAGTGAGGTCCTAAGCAACTTAGGCAGACCCTGTATCAATATAAGAAATAAAAACAAAAGGGTTGGGGATGAGGCTCAGTGGTAAAGCACCTCTGGGTTCAATCCCTGGTGCAAAAAAAAAAAAAAAAGGAGCAAAGAGAGTTTGCAGGGCCAGTGCTTACTTGTAAGGGAAAGTTGGCCTCTGGGTTTGGGGCTTCCTTAGGCAGTGTGACCAGGGACTATACTGCCACAGAGCTCCATTCCAGGGTTCTTGTGTCTGTTCTCCCTGTAGAGTTGAGGGGCTGGGTTTGCTGTGGCCTTGCTCTTGATATCTACTACCTGCTACAAAGTAGGTATTGGGTAAACAAACAAATTTAGTATTGCAAGAGGGAACTAGGTAGTTCACAGGCCTCTTTTTTTTTTTTAAAGAAATATTTATTTATATGTGGTGCTGAGGATCAAACCCAGTGCCTCACACATGCTAGGCAAGCTCTCTACTGCTAAACTACAACCCCAACCCCTAGTTCACAGGCTTTGATGAACCATCACATCTTACAGGGACACAGTGTGAAGCCACTGTACCCACTGCCTAAGGTCACTGCATCATTTTAACTTGTGAAGTTCATTCCATGGCATTAACGACGAGAGACAGGGTGCATCACAGTGACTCCTGTCTATAGTTGATGATGGGCTTTCACATGAACAATATAGCATAGGGGTTAGAATTTTTTTCCTACAGTCAACTTGTCCTGTGGCGCGGGTCAACTTCTCCTAGTTGTGGGAGTATGAGAATTTTTTGTGGCCTTTCCAGCCCAGTGAAATAAAATTGAAGGGCTGGAGGCGTAACTAGGTGGTAGAGCACTTGCCTGGTGTGCATGGGGCCGTGGGTTTGATCCCCAGCAATGCAAAAATAATAAATAATAAGCAAATAAATAAGCCAAATAAAAATGAAAAATGCTGAACCCAGTGCCCGATGCAGGGTAAGCTCTCAGCAAGTTTCAGGTCTTTATCATCTTAATGGTGGAAAGCGGATCAGGCATTATTACCCCATCCCGCAGACAGAACTGAAGGTTTGCACAGCACCTCAGGGGCTGGGCTGGGCTGGGGCTCCCTCTCTGCACTCAGGTGGAAGAGCACAGGCAGGGAGCATCAGGGGAGGCTATGGCTGTAGAGCTTGGCAGTGAAGCTGAAGAAATAGGACTTTGGGGTATGCTGGTGGCTTCTCAGATTTGCCAGAGACTAGCATTTTCCTCCTTAATATCAGCTGATAACTTCATAGAAACTTGAGTCTGGGATCTCTAGTGGTCTTGGGCTGGACAACAAGGGGAAGTAGAACCTGGGGAGGAGTAGGGAGGACTCAGCTCTGAGCCTCTGGAAAAACAGGAGTCTTTTCTGGCACTACCAGAATCTGCCACTAGAGGGGGTGCCTCACATCTTGAGATAGCCTGGGTTGGTAACTCCCAAGTTGTAGGGAGGTAGGTGGGGTGGAGGGCAGTCCAAAGTGGGAGTGGGGCCACTCCTGGATCTGACAAGGAATGATATTCACTGGTCTGCAGTGGAGGACAGAGTCTTGATCTGACCAGTCTGAGAGGTGGGAATGGGGTGCTGGTGTCACACTTGGGTCACTAAGAGATTGGAGGAAATACAGGGGATAGGGAGTGTGTGTGTGTTTGTGTGTGAGAGTGTGTGTGTGTATGTGTGTGTGTGTGTGTGTGAGAGAGAGAGAGAGAGAGAGAGAGAGAGAGAGAGAGAGAGAGAAATGTGTGTGAAGGTGAGAATCAGAGTCTTTGGACCCAGTTTTTCTTACTCATCTCCCTATATCCTATAGAATTTTTTGATGCAGATGAAGTGGATTTAAATTTTGGGGGGCTCCGAGGCCGAGGGGTCAAGAAGCAGGATCCCCCCATTGAACGGGACCTCTATTTGTCCTTGGAGGACTTATTCTTTGGCTGCACTAAAAAAATTAAGATCTCCCGAAGAGTGAGTACTTGGTTTGCTCCTTCTGGGAGTCACTATCTGTCCCTCTACACCCCACCCCCGCCCCTGTCACTTTCTTCCTTATTCTAACTACAGAACTCAGGAATGGTTTCTGATGGAATCTTAGATTGAGAGACCTAGGATCTTAGAATTCTAGGATCTGAAATTTGGGACAACTGAGGGGACTAGCCTGTTTCTTTTCCTAGAGCAGAAGTCCCCCCTGCAGCCCTTTACTGGGGTAGGACCCCTTCCTCTCAGTTCAGCCCCTCGCTGTGGGAAGTGGGAGGAGTCTCCTGTGAACCGCACTCTCTGGCATTACTTAAACATGCCCCCAGGATTTCATGAGGGGTGTGCCTCATAAGTAAGAGGGAGCCATGTGGGCATAGAGGGTTGGCTGGGACAGTCCCCAAGGTCACTGGTTAAAGAAGACCCTTGTGAGTCCCAGAGTTCAGTCCTTGGTTTGACTCTGTCGTATATGCCAGTTTCTGCCATAAACTGGTGCCCTCACCTTTGCCCAGCAGAGGACATGCCTTCCACAGATGGCACCCCTGTGGGCAAGTGCTTGGGGATGGATGGACAACATATGGGGAAAGCTTTGTCGGGGTCAAATCTGCTGACTTCCGTGTTCTTTTTTCCTTTGGGATTAAGAGAACTGCCAGAGGCTAAGGTTTAGGATGTCTGGGATTTGGAGAGAGGAACTGAGTACATTTTCATTGTGCATTTTTTAGTGGCCAGGGATGGAATTGTGAGTTCGATCAACTCATGGCTTCTCTGACCCCAGCTCTAGTACAAGTCATGCCCTGCCACCCTAGAATCACAAGTTTTTAGCTCCAATGGTAATGAATGAGTGTGTGAATGGCTCAGGGCAGGACCTCCCCACCCTAGGGGTCTGAGCCTGAGTACAAATTCTGCAGAGCATCTTTCATGTGTGCAGAGGGGGCTCATGGGATCTGAGTGCGCCCCCTCCCACCATCTCCCTGCAGGTGCTAAATGAGGATGGGTACTCCTCTACCATCAAGGACAAGATCTTGACGATCGACGTGAAGTGTGGTTGGAGGCAGGGCACACGCATCACCTTTGAGAAGGAAGGGGACCAGGTAAGAGGGAGGGAGGCTGACTAGCATCAGTCACCAGGCTCAGATGGTGAGAAGACGAAGGGGAAAGAGAAAATGATTTTGGTCTGGTAGGGAGTCCTGGTTGGATGACCTCTAATGTCCTTTCCCAGGGACACAGCCTCACAATGCCTTTGTGAGTGGGCAGCTTAGGGGTTATCCCCATTTTACAGAGTGGGAAACTGAGGTCCAGAGAGGGAAGGAACTTATCCAGGGCAAGAACACAAGAGCTGAACCCAGTCTTACCCTCAGTACTCTGATTTTCTTCAATGCTTTTCTATATAAAGCCCAAGTATAGGAGCTCCTCAGAACCACTTACAAGTAATAATTTTAAATCAAAGACTTATGTTTATCAAAATATAAAATTAAATGTCCTAGGCATGCTGAGTCCTAAAGTGCTGAGAAGAGGCAGAGCAATGGAATATTCAGAGCCAAGAGAGATTAGCTCCTCTGCCTGCACTTCTTGCTCCTTTCTCACCTATAATACTTCTTCCAAAAAGGACCCTCCAAGTTGGGCACAGTGGCATGTGCCTGTAACTCCAGCTACTTGGGAGGCTGAGGCAGGAGGATCTCTTGAGCCAAGGAGCTTGAGGTCAGCCTGGGCAACATAACAAGATCTCACTTCAAAAAACAAACAAAAGAAAAAATAGCCTTCAGGGCCCACCCCCAATGTTCCCCTTCTGGACAACCTTCCCTGGTCACCCCACATGAGTCAGTACCTCCTAGGAGCCCTTGCCTCTGGCCTCCCTTTATCCTGACCTCAAAATAGCTGAAGACTCACTATGTGTCTATCTCAACATCCAACTGGGAGCTCCCTAGGTGGAAAGGGCTGGTTTGATTCCTTAGTCCCCTGTGCCCAGAAGAGACCTCAGCAGCTTTTTGGTGACTTGGTGAAACTTGGATGAGGGGTGTCACTTCTGAGTTACTCACAGAACAAAGATGTGCAGGCATTGCCTGACCCAGCTCAGTGTTCCCACTGCCATCTGAGGAAGTCCCTCTCCCCTCCTGCTGAGTGCATCCATGTTGAGTGTGCTCAACTGAGATATGATTCAGGGAGACTTGTCTGGGTAAGCTTCCAGAGCAGGGTCTCTGTGCACTTCCAAAAATCCTGATCTGATCTCCCCACTGTACAGATAGAAGACATGGAGACAAGTAGAGGTGGGAACTTGGCCAAGTCACACAGGCAATTAGTCCTTGACACCCCTTGACCTCTCCTGCCCAGGGCCCCAACATCATCCCAGCCGACATCATCTTCATCGTGAAGGAGAAGCTCCACTCTCGCTTCCGCAGGGAGAACGACAACCTCCTCTTTGTGTATCCCATCCCTCTGGGCAAGGTGAGTGGACACCAGCCTGGACTTGGCCCCCTCACCCGGTCACTAAGTCCTGGGAGTTCCACACCCGCCCCCACATGGCTCTCCACTTCCTCTCCCTATTGGTCTCCATTGTGCGGTTCTGGGCAGTGCCGGGTCTGTGCACAGGCCTGCCGTCCCCCTGCCTGCTGTCCCCCGGCCTTCCCCCCGGGCACTTTCCACATGCTGCCTCTCCGCTCTCTTGCTTCTCCTGGGCCCCCTCTGCCTGAAATGCCGCCTGCCCACTTCATCTACAAAGGCCCTTGTCAACTGCTGCCACCATGCGGAGCCATCCTCCACTCCAGAATGGCAAGGGGCCCCTCCTAGGTGCCCACAGACTCCTTTATTTCCATCTCTATCATATCCTTACATTAGATCACTTCGACTGACCTGCTGGACTGTGCACTCTGGAGGGTAGGTCGTGGCCTGGGGCATCACCTGATAGTTCTCGAACAGTGTTTGTCTCCCTAGTGCTAGCTCAAGGTTTGGCATCAGATAGGCTCATCAAGTGCCTTCTAAGTAGGATGGCCCCAGTGACCCTCCCCACTCCTATCTTTTGGCCCTGACCCCCCAGGCCCTCACCTGCTGCACTGTGGAGGTGAAGACTCTAGATGACCGTCTACTCAACATCCCCATCAATGACATTGTCCAGTGAGTCCACCTGCCTTGGGCCCTGATAGGCAAGAGAGGGCTGGCCTGGGACTTAGAGGGTAGAGTCAGAAAGTCCGCTCAGTACAGTTGTGCAAGCTGTACCCAGCACAAGGGTCCCTTGCCGAGAGGGTGAGAGAAGACGGAGGACAGCCCACACTCTGGCCAAGCTGTGGACTGCACTCACCTGGCAAAAGGAACGGCTCTTCTAATTTCCATGAAGCCACGGAAAGACTAGAGGCCCCTGTGTTGGGCAATTGCTGTTGTCTTCAGCCCTTCCAAACTTCGCACTAGAGTTCTGAGAAAGGCCTCTGCCTGGGAGTTTTGCTCAGCTGCCTGGCACCCCCCACCCCTTTCCCTGCACTGTCGCCCATGCTTAAAACAAGACTCCTGGGGCCCTCCAGCAGAGACCTAGTGTGAACAGGTCTTCCAGGCAGTGCACCCTTTGGGACAAGCCAGCCTCCTCTCCCACCCAGTCTTGCTGCTGAGAGCCACCCTGTGGTGGAAACTGGGGTGCTGGCCCATTCCTGTGGCTATGTGAGCCTGGGGTGGGGTGGGCCAGTCAGGGGCTGCTCCAGGGTGCCCCCTCAGCTCCCTTCTTTCTTCCCTCAGTCCCAAGTACTTCAAGAAGGTGCCAGAGGAGGGGATGCCTTTGCCCGAGGACCCCACCAAGAAGGGGGACCTCTTCATCTTCTTTGACATCCAGTTCCCCACCCGCCTCACACCTCAAAAGAAGCAGATGCTGCGTCAGGCACTGCTGACCTGACGTGGGGGGCTGGAGTGGTGGAGGAGAGGGCTCCGGGCCTGACCCGCCGGCCCCACAGTGCAGGGCTGAGGAGAGGGAGGAGGGCTGGGAAGCTAAGCTGACATAATAAAGATTTATTATCCTCCATTTTCACCCTGGAGAGTGTTTGGGAGGAGTTTCCTGCTGGCATTTTTATTTTTACTTCTTCTTCTTCTTATTATTATTTTTTGTAGTGCTGGGGATGGGCCTCATGCGCCCAGCAAGCACTCTACCACTGAGTCACATCCCCAGCCCCCTGCTAGGCTTTCTTGCGGATACCAAGAAGCTGGACACTTGGCTTCATGGGCAGGTCCCTGAGGATTCAGGGCCTTGCTGCTCCAACTTGGTGCAGGGCTGTGTGGCCTCTGAGTTCTCAGCTCTGATGACTTTTCATGACACACAATCTTTAGAAGGGCTATTTTCTGGAATGTGGTATGTCACATTATAGAGACAGGAAAACTGAACCACAACAATGTTTGTCCCAGCTTACTGGGAGTGAAAGAGCTGTCATCAGAACAGTCACTTCCTGCACTCACCAGCACACAGAGAACACAAGCACTGGGATGGCTTTGGTTTCTCCCTCCCCAGCCTTAATTCTCTTGCCTGTGAAGTGGGTTCTGGGCTGTCTCTAGGCAGGAAACCTGGCTTCTGGCCCCAGCCCTGCCCCTGCCTCCCTGCACCAGTTACTGCCCACGTCTTGTTGGCAAAATAGAGCTCATACCCCCTTGTGGGCTTGAGGATTGGGATCATTGATGTGGAAGTGCTTGGTGAACTCAGGCTTGGATTTCAGGGAGCATTAAGCATTGCTATGGATTGGCCTGGAGGGGTTCTGACCTCCAGGCCCAACTAGACCCATGTGGCCCACACCTGCCCCACCAAAGCCAGCAACGGTGTACCATGCTCATCTACTGTGCTGGGGGTTAGAGTCCCCTCTCTGGAGTCTGAATGTGGGCTATAAAAGGTCCAGGGTCATGGAAAGAAGGTGGCCTCTTCTGTGGGGTGGCTTCAGATGTGCTGGAATAGGTCCCACATCATCTACATAGCTTGGGATCTCCCTATTCAAAATACCATATTAGCTTAAGTTTCTAAAGTGGGAACTCAGAACTTGGCAACCATTATTTTAGTTTAAGAGATAATGCTTGGGCTGGGGATATAGCTCAGTTGGTAAAGTGCTTGCTTTGCATGCACAAGGCCTGGGTTCAATCCCCAGCACCAAAAAAAAAAAAAAAAAAAAGAGAGATGCAGTGGCACAGACCTATAATCCCAACACTGGGGAGGCTGGGGCAGGAGACTCACAAGTTTGAGGCCAGCCTCAGTAACTCTGTGAAACCCTGCCTCAAAAAATAAAAAGGGCTAGGGAATATCTTAGTGGTAGAATGCACCTGGATTCAATCCCTAGTACTGGGGGAGGGGTAGTGAAGACAGGATATCACTATGTTGCCCAAATTCCTGGGCTCAAATAATCCTCCTGACTCAGCCTTCTGAGTAGCTGGTAGCACAGGCATTTGCTACTGTGCTCAGATTCAGCAGCCATTTTTAAACTGCCATGGAGAAGGGAGCAGCAGAAAGATCTTGAGATAAAGACTCCAGGGCCAGGGTTCTAGGAAGCATTTCAGCACAGTAGTCTCAAATATGTGGGGAGTCAAAAACACCTGTTAGAATACAAGGTATGTGACCTTGGGCAAATCACTTCACCTCTGTGGGTGAAGGTTACAACCTGCATCTTGCAGGTCATCTGTGAAAACCAGATGGAGTGAAAGACTGCCCTCTGAGGCAGGACCTAGGTGGATGGGTGTCATAATTGTCTCTCAGTTCTGAGTACAAGACTTGGGTGGGTGAGGGAGGGCAGGGCCTTCTCCAGGACGGCTGCTTCTGATCCTTATGGTGGGCTCTGGACGAAGCCTGGTCTTGGGCCCAGGGATAGACCTCTATGAGATTTCCATTACCACTCTGTGGCCTATGAGTCAGGTAAAGCAGGCTTATCACAGGCCATCTTACAGGCTTTACTGAGGCCTACTGTGTCTTCCAGTGATCCCTGCCACCTCTTCCAGCTGTCATTCCAAGGTCATGCCCGGAACTATACGGAAGTCTGATAGCCTTGTGTTCACCCCAGTGTCTGGGGCACAAGGCTGGTGAGTAAGCAGCTGAGGCAGTTCACCTCCAGCTGGCCTGCTTAGCTCTGTTGACAGACATGCTTAGGGCAGCAAGCTGTCCCTTTCCTCCAGTGCAAAACAATTAACAGCGCACCTCATGGGATAATGTGAGGGCACACAGGGCAGTGGCCAGATCTCTTTATGTCAACTTCTTGCAGCAGAGCAGCCCCCAGGTTGGGGGCCAGGGTTCCAGGAAGTGTTTCCGGACAAGTCCAAGGTACATGGGGAGTGAAACACACTTGTTGGAATCCCAGGTGTGTGACCCTCCTTGGGCAGATCACTTCACCAGGTTCTGCCGGTACCATTCCCTCCAGCAGGCTCACTCTGCTTGCTGCCTAAAGGCACTCAACCCTGTCCCTCCTGCAGACTATGAGACCTCAGCTCAGTTTGTCAGAAGGTAGGAAATAAGATGAGGAATCCTGGGCCCTCCTTCCCTGTCCAGAAACCAGTCTAACATCCTGGACCTCTTGGCCAAGCAGAGGGGCTTAGCCTCTGGCTCTGACCTATAGGCTAATCAGGACAGGAAGTGTCAGCTGCTTTAGGTTGGGGAAAGAAGGGCGGTCTCATTCTCTGGGCCTGGCTCCATACTGCAAGCACACTTCCCTAAGGACCTTCAACACTGGTGCCTGGGGGAAGAGTCTAGCAAGGGGAAAGTCTGAGTCCTAGTCCCAGTTCAGCTGCTGACTGCATGTGTCTATCAACATAATGTGTCTCAGTCCTCAGACACCTGGGTGACTTAATTCTAAAGGCCCAGACCTGTGCCAGGACCTCATTTCCTCACCCTTTGAAACAGAAGTAGTACTGCCTACCTGCTCTCCTGCCTCTGAGGGTAGAGGTTGAAACCTCTGTGCAGCCAAAGCCCTGACTTGTCAATGTCTCCTTGGTATCCCTAGTCTGGGGAGAGGGTGACACTTTGAGCCCCAAACCCAGGCAAGCATAAGCAGGATGTTTGCTCTGCAACCTGAACCCAACCTGTGCCCAGTTCAGAACAGTTCCTCCTCTGGGTTTGACCGGGGAGGGTGGGAGGTAGCCCCACTTGTTCTATCAAGGACTATGATTTTGGAGAGGTGGGCTTGCCATTTGTTTTGGGTACCATGGATTGAACTCCAGGCACTCCTCCCCAGCCCTATTTTGTATTTTATTTAGAGACAGGGTCTCACTGAGTTCTTAGCACCTTGCTTTTTTCTGAGGCTGGCTTTGAACTCATGATCCTTCTGCTTCAGCCTCCCAAGCCGCTGGGATTACAGGTGTGTGCCACCGTGCCCGGCTGGTTTTGCCGTTTGTAATAAAAAATAAAATAAGCCCACTGCATCTATCATTCTCAACGTCCTCTAAATCTTCCAAAAAGTACAGGAGATGCAGGGAAGACAGAGTACTCTCACCCTGCAGGATAATAGGCCTGGAGCCAGCTGGGGGCTGGGAAGGTAGGCACTGGGTCACCAGGCTCAGCAAGGGATGGGGAGGCAAGGATTAAGCCACTGCTGTCTCTCTGGGCTGCTCTTTGCTTGCCACCTTAGCCCAGGGTTTGGGTCTGGAGAGAAAAATGGGCTAGGGGCCCCCATGGAGGTGGAAAGTGGGTTTCATTCCTTTTTGAAGTCAGGTGGCTCCTCCCCAACCCACCAGGGTCCAGTGGACCAAGACCTCTGGTAAGCGCTATGATAGAGGGAAGAGACACCAAGGTTGAGCTTGCTTTATGGGTGACAGGCTGGCTGGGGGTGAGGACAATGAGTCAGGCTGAACTTCTTAAGGGACTGAAGGCTTGGGATCCTAGCTGGAACCAGGCGTCCTGAGATAAGGTAATGGACGGGGTGGGAACATGGGAGCAGGGAGGGAGGTGGAGGGAAGAGAAGCAGAAGGAAGAGGTGGGGGAGGGAAGGAGGAAAGGGAAGCAGGGCAGCTGGAGGAGAAGCCAAAGCCAGGTGGCCAGGTCAGCAGCAGGGGAGGCTCAGAAGGGAGCCTTCCGGGAAGCACAGGCAGTCGTGAGGGCCCTTTTCAGCTGCTCATAGGTGACAAACATCACCACGTTCCAGGAGCCCAAGCGGAGAAAAGAGGGCATGAACCTAGAGGAGAGAAAACACAGGTCACAGGGGCATCCCTGGCTTTTCCCACTGGGCCCTCGCATCCAATCGGAGCTGGTCGCTCTATTCCAAGGAGGACTCAGTGAACTGAGCCCACAGCTATTACTATGAGCAAGAATCCCACCCTGTGGTTCCCCCAACCCCCAGTGCTGGCCATTAATCCCAGGACCTCATGCATGCTAGCCCAGCCCTCTACCACTGAGTAGCACCCCTTGCCCTGAGTCCTCATTTTAATACCTAGACACTTTGTTATAGGTGGTTCCCTCCCACCTGTGATAGGTACAGGTTGCTAGAAGGCCTGGAATTGGGGATGGTGCTGGGAGATCAGAGGCTCACCCTTTGTAGAAGGCTCGGGGCCCCTCCTTCTGGAGCATGGTAAGGGCACAGTGCCCAGCGCTGCTGTACTGGCCCAAGGCAGAGTTCATGTATCTCGTCTTGACCACGTCGACAGGGGAGGCGATGACAGTGGTGCAGAAGCCCGCCCCAAAGGCGGAGGTGAAGTGGCAAGGGAGGTCATCTGCCAAGGAGCAGTGGGCAAGGACTCAGCACACCTCACCCACCATCCCAGAGGCAAGAGAATTAAAACTAAGATGCTCATGGTTGTCAAAAGAGACTCCATTGTGAGAACCTAAAAAGCCCTTTTGTCAATCCTGCCTGAATTCCTCAAGGTGCCAAGTAAGATCTTCATCCCCATTAGCTTCCATAGGGTAAGTACAAAATAAAACTCCCTCTACAGGCAAAGGGCAAACAGAATGAAAAGATGTGGCCTTAGGCCACCAGTCCCCCACCCCCACTCCTGCACCATCTACCCTAACTTACCAGTCATGAGGTTGGCCTTCAGGAGGGCATCCTTGATAAGGTCATAGGTCACTAGCTCAGCACAGTTGA